TCGCGAGTTGTAATACTAAATATGATATAAGAGAGGATGAATTTACAAAAATACCCCGAGTTATATTAGAGTCGAGGCCTGAGAAATTGAGGGAATAGGTGTTGTGGAGGAGCAACTTCTTCTCCGGCGTGGCAGAGATAAATTCGGGAACGGTTTTCCGACAAAGAACGCCAATTTGTTAACAAGCTCAATGAAGACGACGACAATGATGGAAACGACGGCAGCAAGATTGGTGCAGAAGATAAAAATCCGATGAAATCCGACTGGCTTACTTAGATCCCCCTAGTTAAGTCTCAATTTTGTTGAGTTGAATTCAATTAATTTGAATTGTGTTTTATGGTTAGGGTTTGTTCTGATTTGAGGACCTTTCAGGGGATTTAGGAATCAATCCAGAGACTGGATGCCAGAAATGACGGTAATAGACTTCCGATGAATGGGGCTTCCGCCAACTCTACGGAAGAGCAAAGCAACATAGGAATTAAAAAGGGCGATACAAAAGATTCACAGGCCAACCAAAAGACACAACAGTGTTGGTCACCGGAGCTCCACCGGAAATTCTTGCAAGCTCTGCAACAACTCGCCGGTTCCCACAGTGTATATAAATAAATAAATCTTTATATATATATATATATATAGACAAAGGAATCTGGTCCCGCCAGAGTACGCCGCCACAATGGCCGCCGGAGAGGCGGCCGCATCCACTACGGCACCTCCCGACGGAATATACGGACAGAGTTAACATCACCCACAACGACAAGATCAACTTCGTTGTTTTCCAACATGACTAGCAATCGGTGAACCATAACAGAAAAAAATAGTGGAGGGGCTCCGGTAAAAGATAATAGTAAAGAAGAAGAAGAATAAGAAAGAAAAATGAAGAAAAAGAAAAGATGGGCGACGAGGGAGGGGCGGCATAAAGAAGAAGAAATGGAAGAAGGGATTTTGGGAGTGGTCGGTTTTGAAGGGGTGGAGGATTCCGACGGCGGCAGCGATAGCGGGGAGAGGAAGTGTATATGTGTATGTATGAAGAAGTAGTATGTGTGTCCTTGTACGATGAAGTCAATTTTTAAGAGGTATAACGGTTAAAATGAATAAAATTTTAATATTTTTAATCCAATATTAAAAGAAACGATGAGTGTTCAATATTTTTTAAATCACAAATAAATGTTATAAAATTTTAAAACTAAAGTAGTCTTCAGCACATTCAGAAAACTATGGGAGAATTTTATATTATTTAGTTTTGTTGATTGTATACCATAAAAATGAAATAAATAAATAAATAATTATATGTATAAATAATAACTGAATGTTTAATTTTGTATGGAACTTATATGTTTGAAAATGATTATTTTGAATAAGATATACATAGATTATGCATGTAATACCAAAAAAGTTATAGATAACCACGAGGGACTACATAATAACAAAAAAATGAAACAATAAATTAATAATAAACTAAAAAATCACAAATATAACAGAAATATATTGAATATACAATTACATGGGACCTCAGCTCCATGGACCCCTTAACCATAGAGTTCTCTTTCGAACAGATACAGTTTTATGTATATTTCTGCTACAATTTTCTATCACCCCCTCAAAAAAGATTACATTATTAGCACCAAAATTCAATGGTTGCTCTAATTGAGAGGCAAAAGAAAATAATAATAATAATAATAAAATAAATCAATAAAAAATAAAAATAAAATAACATCCATAATTCTATATATCCCACAAAAAAACCTACTCATGCAGCCATCGATTGATCAAGAAGCCAAGTCCCGGCCCTTCACTCCATCCTTTTTCATCGACGATTGCCGACGAGGTTTCCGGCGACTGGCAAAGTGCTTTTCATTCAACGGGCACGCACCGCCGCCGCCCTGGCCGGGGATATAAGTGCACGGCGAGCTACTGGATGGCGGCACGGGACCGCGGGGAAGGGCCTGGAGCAGGAGGACCTGGTCCTTCTGCCATTTTTCCATCCCCAAGGTTCTCACAGCATCAGCTCCATTAGAAGAACAAGAAATGATCAGAAAGGCTAAAAGAAGGTTGAATGTAATAAGAGATTTTGATATTTTCATCATATATATATATATATATTTTTGAATGAAATATAAAATAAAAATTGAAATTTTTGAATGAAATAAAAATTTTGATTTTTTTGGGATGCAAAAAATTGTGATGAAGAAGGGTGTTATTTATAGGGAGATTAGAGATTAGGGTTGTTGCTTGGAAATTTGGAATGTATTAGTTGACTTGGCCTAGCTAATTAAATTTTTTGTATTTTATTTTATTTGTTATTTTATATGTTTTGGTTAATTTAATTTGTGGGTCTTTGGTATCAAGTATGACTGGAATTTGATTTTTTAAGAATTAAAAATAGTTAAGTAGTTTGATTTTATTTGGGTAGTCTTGATGTGTGTGTCATGCATTAGGATTAGTTGATGGTTCCCTATTCAAACAAGCACACGGATTTATTGAATTTAATAATAATAATATTAATAATAATACTTCCTCCGTTACACGTATCATGTCCACGTTGTCGTTTCTGTCCTTCCCATATTTCATGTCACTTTTTTTTTTGAAAAATGATTACACACTTTAATCTCATTTTAAATTTTTAATTTATTTTTTTTAATTTTAATTAAACCAATTAGTTATCTTAATCTTAATTTACAATTATTTATATTACTCCTTTCGTCCACAAACAAATGTCCTACTTTCCTATTTGGGACGTCCAACAACTATTGTCATATTTCATTTTTTAAACACAAATTTTATATTTTTACACTTCATTCATTTATTACTTTTAATCTCTACCGTACAATTAAGGGAAAATTTGTCAATTCATAACAAAAAGACAATCACCTAAAAAATCGTGCAAATATACTTTAGGACAATAGAAATTGGACGGATAGAGTATAAAATAATTATTTTCACTAATACATTTTTAATTATCTACTAATTACACTCCTCTTAAAATACTGTGTCTACAGTGTAGCAGACACGAATGTGAGACGGAAGGGGTAATAATAATAATAATAATTTGATGATGGATGTCCTAAGTGGTTGTCATTTGATGATTTGATGTATGTAATGATAGAATTAATAAAGATTTTCTTGGGAAAGGACTGACTGTATTTGTATGTTAGAAAATTATTGGTTGAATTTGACTGGTTTGGTTGGGTTGATTTACATTTAATTAAAATATTTAGGCTTACGTGTAAATAAGAATTTTGAAAGTTTTAAGGGTATGTTTGTTTTGCGACTTAAACACAAATTAATACTGTTTAATTTTTATAACTTATTTTTTATACTCCTTCAGTCTAAAAATTATATTCTTGTTGTGTTGGACACGAGATTTAAGAATGATTGATATTATATTGGTAATCGGTAGAAAGTAATGATAAATTACTTTTTTGCCCTTGTGAGTATATTAGTGTAAAATGTAGTGTCAATTGTGTAATAATAATGAAAAAATAAAGATAATTTTACAGTGATATAGTTATTTATGAAAATGAGACTATTATTTTAGGACGGACAAAAATAATATATCAGGACGGAGGGGGTACAAAATATAGTAATTCAAATAAAAAATCTGATTTTAATCGAAATCAAATCAACCCTTAAAGTGTGTTTGTTTTGGGTTTCAAATCCAAATAATACTCTCATGTCACCTAAAAATGTACTTAAACTTTTAGACACTAGTTTTAATGTAAGAGTGTACTTTTAGGGTGTGTTTGTTTGGGGGTTTGGATTTTGGATTGAGATTTGAATAGTAAAAATTTTGAATTTGAATAGTTGTATGATGTGATATAAATAGGGTTTGATGTGATGTTTTGAATGTAAAATTGATTTTTAGTATAATATAAAAAATGAAAAATAAGTGTTTGATGTGATGTTTTTGGGGGGAAAAAATTGGATGAATAGTAGAAATCCTTCAAAATCCTTCAAACAAACACACCCTTAGTTATTTTTTATTTTTTATAATAATATATATATATATAAAGTAGTATGAATTTTTATTAAAAAATTAAAAATAAAACGAAAATGTTTTAAGGTGATCGACAAAAAAAGATAAAAATAAAAATGAATACAACTTTAAATAACTAAGAAAGTATTATTCAGTGGCACGATTATAAATAAAAATATATTTTTTATAAAATATCATATAATATTTGAATTTAAATTCAAGTTTAAGCAAATCTTTAAAATATACTCCATCATCCGTCTAACCTATCATATCACATTTTTTTATTTCTATTCATCCACATAATTTTTTATATTACATTATAATCTAATTGTTTATTCAAAATATTCTACCATTCAAAACTCAAAGCCACAATCTTGTTCCCGTTGAATTTTTTTATTTTAAATAAAAAAAATTAACTATTTAATCTTTATTTTTCTCAATTAAAAATATATTTAAATCAAAATTTAAATAAAATCTTTAATTTCAAATCAAAATCAAACAAATTATGTATATTTTGCCATTATTCCGATAACTTAATATATATATCTACATATTATTATATTAAATTTATACTATCATCGTTATTCAAATTTATAAATATGTTTTTTTTTGAATTATCGTAAAAAAAGAAAATATTTTAATAAATATAGCTTGATTATAAAAGAAAGAAAAAATTATTGTTTATTTTTATTAAAATTCATGTCCAACAATACTTAGTATAATTTTTTTTACTGATGGTGAGAGTATTTATTAAAATTGAATGGAGTGTGTATGTATATAATACTCTATCCGTCCACATAAAAGTAAATATTTACTTTTAAAGCTTTTTTTTTTTGTTAAAATAACGATGTAAAATAAGAATATTTATGAAAATAAATATATATATATTTAATAAAATATTTACTTTATAATTGAAGACAGATGAAATATGTTTTATAATATAATATATATACTTTTATAAATAAAAAAGAAAAAGATAACGAGTCCACATTATTTTGTTTATATATATATATGGAAGGAAAAATTATTAATTTAGTTTTAAAACTATATAATAATAACAATAATAATTAAAACCATGCATTCATTATCAGTAGCATATCCATACACATCCATCCTGATAGTGTTAAAAAAAGAAAAAGGATCCGGACTTCTAACTAATTGATCATAGATGGAGTGGCTCTTCACTGTAAGCCAAAAGAGAGTTCCGCGTCATATGCAACGTGGGACAATACTCAACAATATATCCATATATCGATCCTGATAGTTAGTTAGAGAATGCGGCAATCTTCCACTCCACACCACACCACATTATTAGTAAGGAAAGTTTTGGTAAGAACGATATTGTTAAAGTAATTTTGTCTTGTGTAGCGTTTGAGGGGAGGAGAAGCAACATACATTTAGGTTCCGGCTTTCCTGCGACCAACACGGGCCACAAATCCAGCCTTGATCGGAGCAACTGATCGCCCAGACCCACACTATACACAAACAAACAAACAAACAAACAAGTAAACATTATGATCAGCGGCTACAAATTTCCACATTATAAAAAATAAAAAACAAAAAAAACAAGTAAACATTACAATCTGCGGCTGCAAATTCCCACTTTTTTTTTTCCCTTATAGAAATCTCTTTGTTTCTATGAATTAATACATACAAATGGAACCAACATATATATATATATATATATACACTTCTTATTCATGAACCTCATGCAACACAACACACAGCTTTTTCATTTCTAGCTATACCTATTGCCTAAAAGAACACTTCGATGATACTTTGATGGTATGTATAAGATCATATTACACCCGACAAGTATGGTCAGCTTCCCTAATGGCCTCAGATAGCATAAAAATTACTCTTCGTCTAGAACAATCAGACAATGTAGGCAAAGATTTTGTTCATCACAGGCCAAACCCAAACACAGACAGACCACTATGGACAACTTTCTGTTCTACTTAATTCACTTAAACTGATGTGCAAGACACCTGGATACAGAATCTGACAAAATAAAGAGAACTGACAGGTGATTAAAGATGAACAAGGGTAGGTCGGATTGATTGTAGAAAGGATAGATAGATTGATAGATAGATAGAATGCAAAATGTTATAATTTTCCGACTATGAGCTAGGGCTTAAAATTATGACAACATGCGTCTCTGCCACAAGTGATAGTGTAAAGTCAAATAAAACTATGCTTTAACATTGCAATGATTCTAGTCAATTAAATTAAACAGAAACTAAACTACCTTTTCACATCGGAGAAAGAAGAGCCGGTTCTCCTTTGAGAGGATAGTGTCCGGACTTTTGCATCCATTGCAGATAACATACTCATCTGCACCCATCAAGCACAAGCAAAATTATACTACTTCCAGGCAATTTATAAAACACACAACAATAATTTGACATGAATTACGTAATTCTTAAAAACAAATTTGTATGCATAACGGCAATAAGCGCCACTGTTCAATATATGTGCTTCATGAGTTGAGCAATTTCGAAATAAAAGAAGAGAAAATTACTAAAACCACTATAAGCTCCTAATTTAAAAACAGAAAAAAGAGAGGAACTTAAGATCAGGCTGACTGAAACTATCACTCGGAACATATTCTTTGAATTTAATTTCTGAAAATGTTATAGAAAAACTTACTGATGTATCTTCGCAGAATTCCCTCAAAGTTCTTTGGGGCAAACCTTCCCTTGACCACCAACCTTTGTTGTCCATCCAGAGAACCGCTTGTACCCATTTCAGCCAGCAAGAAAGTCATGACATGCTCGGGCTGTCGATGCATCCTACAATAAAACCCATGAAAAATGTAACATATCAATATTTATTCATGTCACCATCACAAAGGTCAAGAAAAGATCAAATCCAAAATCATATTGAAAATTGTAGAGCACCAGTTTACTGCAATGTTCAATATGATTTATATTAATTTTTTCAAAAATATTGTATAAAGAAGCTTGCATAGTGATAGTGAACAACAAGGAAACACCCAAACAACAATTATGTGTAAGTAATGTTTCGTTTTCTGGACCTGTAATATCAAAATCGAAATCCGAAGCATTAATTAGGACGCTAACATTCACAATTGTTCCTCTTAGCTTGAAAAAGAAAGAGCATACGTTTTGCAGAGATCCATGAAATTCACAAAGACAGTTTTTTTGGTGCCTTCTCGAAGAACTTGAGGTGGTCTCATAACTGTCCTGCGCCGATCTCCAGCAAGCTCTGGGTTATTCTCACGAAGAATGTTGAAGACTCGGCCAAGAAGCTGAGAATTTGGAAGGAAAAGCCCTAATTAATCATAACTATTAACAGCAAAGAATATTAAAACCAACCATTCTGCCTTGCGCCATGGCAATGGCTCATCAGTCGAGCGTCTGGAAATGATGCCCCTTGCCATAGCAAATGGGGCAGACCATTTAAAACTGTGAGCCACATCATACAATTAATCATTTGAGAAGCACATACCTCCTCATACTCGTAATCTCGATCAGTTCCTTCCCAAGGATACTGTTGTAAAACAATTCCTTCCCCATCCTCATCTTCTCCATTGATATCTTTAGAATTTTATAAATGGAAATTAAAAAGAATATTTAAAAACAATTATCAAATTTAAGTAATAAAGCTCTCTCAAATAAGCTCCTTACCTTCTGAATTTTCGACAATATTCTCTTTTTCTTCATTCAAATCTGTAGGTGCCTGTAACAGTTTTCATGAAGACCACATATAAAAACCACAGAAAATTCAAAGGACATAATAAGGAAAAACAACATGCTTACTGGCTTCTTCTTTTTCTTTTTAAGACCAGCAAATGAAGTTTCGACAGTATCAGAAACTGCAAGTTTTATACAATTACATAGGATCAATAAGTTAAAATTGATCTATCTCAAAATTTAAATTCACAAATATAAAATACAAATGCATCTAAGAGAATATTGCCGAAGATCATTACCAGTCAAGCTCTCGGTTTTCTCAACAAGCGTATCAACAGGCTCCTCTTCAACTAGATCTTGAACCACGACTTTCTTCTTTTTCTTCTTTTTTGTAGGATCAAAAGAAGTTATCTGCATCACAATCAAATATATACATAAGGTTATACATATTCAACTCCTGATTTAATCATGCACAAGATAGTTAGTGGCATATAAACATACATAACTAGCTTAATTGCTCAAACCAAAACTTCAAACATTTAAGCCCCAGTTGAATCTCAATTTCATTAAAGTTGTGTGCAGTCTAACCGAATAATGTACATACTAAAATAGACATAAATTTCACAAACACACAATTCAGTCGTAGCTCCATTGCATAAATCATAAATTTTTCACCACATACTCTTCAAGCACATATGAGTCCATCCTCATTCCCAACCTTCAATGAAATTATTTCCAAAAGAAAACGAAGAGTATAATAAAGATTCTAGCCTCTCAAAAAGCACAAAATAACAGATACTATAAATTCGAAACATTTTTATTTCATACTTTACCTCTCCAACATCATCCTTAACCTCGTTCGTAGCAGTTTGATCTTCTTTATCCGCCATGATTGTATTCAGATCTGCAACTAAAAATCCAAAGGGTAATTAGCATTCAAGCATGTCCGCCCTTGTATTCAAAGTTTCGAATACATATACCCCAACAAAAAAAGCAAACCCTAATGCCCCTAATTGAATACTCACGTAGAACAACAACAATATAGATGACCCAAACGATCAACTGACCTCACAACCAATTTTGTTTCACCAAATAACTCCTTCCTAATTCCGCATTTCAATCCAAGAAACCAACACAATATATCGATCGATTAATAAACAGTAAACTAAAGAGCAACTATATAGATTCGAGAACCGGTTCAAACCGAAACCGGACACAAATCGAACCGGTTTGAACCGGCGGTTTGACTTTTTTTTTTTTTGAATCTAACAGCACCAACCACCGCACCGGTGGCGAGGACACAGCGGAGCAGCAAGTGCAGGCCAGTAGGGTACGACCGTAGGTGAAGACGTGAAGTGAAGAAGAAGAAGGAAGGAAGAAACGAAAAAATTGGAGAAGAATAAGAAAAAGAAGAAAGAAGAAAACCTTGTGCGGATCGTACGGACCGCGGTGGCTGTGGATCAGTGGATGTAATGTACTAGGGTAAGTGTATTTTCTAATAATAATAATAATATGTTTATAATTAATTTTTTTATATATCATTTAATTTTTATAAAATAAAATAATATTATTAATATTATTAAAAATAAATAATTATCATATTATTTTTTTACATTAATATTTTAAATTTGGTAATTTTTTTGTTGTATAATAGTATTATTTAATACATCAATATTTCTATAACTTATTTTATTTATTTTTATTTAAAATTTAATTTAATTCCTTATTTTAATTTATTGTTTTTATTTATTTTTATATTATAAAAATTTGATTAATTATTACTGTACAATTTTTACACTATAAAATAAATAATAAATATATATATTTAAATAAATTCAAAATCAAAGTTAATTATTTTTAAATAAAATTTAATTTTCAAAAAATTAAAAAATACTATAGTGAATATATATAAGTTGGCGGTTCAAACCAAAACCATCCATTTATAAATCGTAATTAAAATTGTTTAATAGTAATTAAAATCATTATTCGAAAAATTTAATTTTGATTTAACATTTTGACCGTAAAGTTTGAATTGTTTGAGCAAGTGTACATTGAAAAAGATCTTTATATTATGAGCCTGAGAATGAAAGTCCAAATAAAAATGTGTCCTTCCAAAAGCCCAATGTATACATTTCTTTAATCTAATTACTTGTGATTATTTTGATATTGTTTGGTTGTTTTTTAAATTAATTTGAAATGAAGTTTTTATTTTAATTTTAATTTTTATATGATATTTTATTTAGAAAAGTAGTATATTCTTATTATAAACGGTGTTAAATGAATAATGATAATTTGTGTTTAAAATCATAATCAAACAAACCCTTTAACTACAATTGAATTTAAAATGGCTTAGAGTGTGTTTGGTAATTAGCAATAGTTTTACATATTAGTTTAGTCAATTAATTTGATTGATAAAATAGCGGTTTAATATTAATTTTTTATACATATAATAACAATTTAGGACGTCTATATTTTAATTTTTAAAATATTCAATTGTGTTTTTTTTTAGAAATTTTTAAAAAAAATTGTTATTAGTTAATTGAAATTGTGAATGTATTATACAATAATTATTTTTAATATTTTTATTTTTAATATTTTTAGAATTGAGAAAGATAATAAATTTTTATTAAAAAATATAAATATTTTTTTATTAAGAAGAGTGTAAAATAGTACTCCCTCAGTTCCATAAAGAAGTATACATTTGTTTTTTGCATTTAGTTTTAGAAATATTAGTATTATATTGAGATATAGTAAGAATAAAGTAGAAATGACTAAAATAACCTTATTAGTACGTGTGATATAAAGGTAATGACATTTGTGTAATATATTGTAAGTTGTAAGGGTATTTGTAATGTTAAGTAGATAGTACAATTACTAAAAAAAGAAATGGATACTTTGTTATGGGACAGACTAAAAATGGATACTTTGTTATGAAACGGAAGGAGTATAAAATAATAAAATTTTAGTATATACATTTATTATATTAATTACTTTATTCACCCTAAATCTCAAAAATTACATTTATCTTTTATATTGTTGTAAATAACGTTAAAAATATTTTTACATTTGTAATTTTTGTTATACAAATATTATTATATAAGTATTGTAACACACTACTAAAAATATTTTTGTCATTTTGTGCTATATTTTAATATAATAATTAATATTTAAATATAATATACAAAAACAAAAGTATCTCTTTTAAGTAGAACATTTATTTAAAAAAATTTCAAATGCATTCGATACACCTACAATTCAAGATAATAATTAATAAGCACCATGGTCCCATAAGGATGCCACTAGATTCAGCTTACTCGAAGAGTAGCTACAACATATTAATTAGATCTAATCAACATTTTTATATTAATCCGCATATATAATTAGATCGAAATTTTTGACCGAACTTGAATTGAAAGTTTCTATACTAAACATATTTATTACCATCCCAAATTCTTATTGTCCTGTATACATAATTGTATCAATTCCTAACTCCAATCTAATGATTAAAAATTGTGTGTTGATCCAATCAAATCAGTATAATCAGTCAACATATGTCATATACATGACCAACATATGTTTACCATATGTTGTATTATAAAATAGCATATATTAAATTATAATATAATATATTTCGTATTATAAATATCTTAAAATATATACAAGTATATGCTAATCACCCTTTTAGGGGTCAAATCAACACCGTTACTTGACCAGATCAGCAGTTAATCAATATTTCAATCTAATTACTCTCTCAGTATTCATTTACATCATTATACTTAACAGTAAAAATATCATTTCATTTCTCATTATATCGCGCAAAAAATATATAAATACTTACATTCATTATCCAAACCTCTTTTAGACAAACACGAATGCCGCCGCCGCGTATAAGATCCCTAAATCATTCAGACAGCAAATTTAAAAAAAATAAAAAAATAAAAAAATAAAAAAATAAATAAAAATAAAAAAAAATCCCAAACGCGTTTTTGACTGTCATCAACAATCAAACTTTCCCACGCCACTTCACTAAGCAAGTAGCCTTCCCCAAGCCAAACCTACACACCTCATACACAAACATATATATATATATATACATACACACAAACAAAACATCATCAGCAGAATCTCCATTGCAATAAAAAAATAAAAAATAAAAAATAAAAAAAAGCAAACCTGAAGAACTATGAAGAAGATGAAGACAGCAACACTAGCCTGCATTCTTTGCCTGTTCTTCATCCCAAACCTTTCTTCCTCAGAAAAATGCAATCCCGACGACAAGAAAGTCCTCCTCTCAATCAAACAGGCCTTCAACAATCCCTACCACTTAGCCTCATGGGATCCAAAAACCGATTGCTGCACATGGTACGTCGTCGAATGCGATCTCCAGACCCACCGGATCAGCCAATTCCATCTCTTCGCAGCCGATATCTCCGGCCAAATTCCGCCGGCCATCGCAGATCTCCCCTACTTAAAATCCCTCATGTTCCATAAGATAGCTAACCTGACCGGCACGATCCCGCCCGCTCTCGTCAAGCTTACCCGCCTCCAATCGCTCACTATAAGCTGGACTAACATATCCGGACCAATCCCGTCGTTCCTTGGCAATATGACGACCTTGACGTCTCTCGATTTGTCGTTCAACAGCTTCAGCGGCTCGATCCCGCCGTCGCTCGCTCGGCTTAGGAACCTGTCGGGAATGAGGTTGGATCGGAACAGGCTGACGGGAAGCATCCCTGACTCGTTCGGGGACTTGAGTCCGAATCTTCAGTATTTGTACTTGTCTCATAATCAGATTTCCGGCATGATTCCGCATGGTTGGGGGGGATTGAATTTCACGTTGATCGAACTGCAGCGCAATCGGCTCGAAGGGGACATTTCAATCCTGTTCGGGGAGAACAAGACTATTCAGATTGCGGATTTCTCGAGGAACATGCTGGAGTTTGATATCTCGAATGTGAAGTTTCCTGACAGCCTGTCGACGCTGGATTTAAACCATAACCGGATCACGGGAAGGCTGCCGGAGGGATTGGCGAAATCGGATTTCTTGTTTCTGAATGTGAGTTATAACAGGCTGTGTGGACCGATTCCCGTCGGCGGAAGCTTGCAGAAGCTCGAGTACACCTCGTTTTTCCATAACAAGTGCTTGTGCGGTGCGCCATTGCCTGAGTGCAAATGATTCGATGTTCAAACAGAAATGTGGAATGATAAAGATGTAATCTTGAAATAAATATTGTACCTTTTTTGTCGAATTTCTGGTCTTGGAATCGAGTACCATTGGGAGTTCGACGTCTGTGAATCTATGTCTCTGTCCCTGCAATCATCTTTTTTGTCCTTACTATGTTAATCATATCTTGTTCCTTATTCAAATTCTACGGCTAACTCCTTAAGAACTAAAACGACTAAATTAAAATAAATAAATAAGTACGAAGAAAGAAGCAATGAAGTATATGCACCTTGAAAATGTCGACTGCATTCCCATTGTCATCATCGATCTGTTTGTGGCTGTAAAGTACTAACGATCCTTCAATGACATATCTATATATATACACTGATTCGTCGTTTTCAAAAGAGGGATAATTTATAATATGGGATATGAATCTACCGAACAAAGCAAATCTGAAAAAACTATAATTCTAGGAGACACTGTAATAGAGAAGACAAAATAGGTTATTTCCTTTTTCTAGACAAGACCTTAATAGCCGGAACATCTTTAGAGGACCCACCAATATCCTTTTCTGCCTCGTCATCACTTGCTTCATCGAAGCTCTCTGTTTTGTCCGTGGACTCCTCTTCCTTGTCGGATAAGGGGGGAGATGTCGTTTGTTTGGAGAGCCGATCGCGAAGCTCTCTAAGTTTAGCTTTCTTGGAATTTAGGACATTAACAAACTGAAAGCAGGATGATGCAGCGCACCGGAAATTTTCGTAAGAATTTGGGAGTTCAAATGCGCAGAAGAAATCTTTAAAGAAAATTACCGACACAGATGCTCCATAGGAAATGACATTACGAAGCATTATTGCATCAGATTTCATGGAAAAGAGATACCTTCGCATAGCAAAACGATTCGAATTCTGCTTTCTCACTGCTGAGCTTCTCGCTTTGTGTTAAACATTTTTCAGCCTCTTGTTTCAGCTTGTCAAACGATTGAGTTTTCCAGATGACTTCCTCCTGTTCACACCAAACAAACAAATCATAAAATGACAGGACCAACCACTAGCATCAACAGGATTGTATGAAGCAACTTATAATATGTGAAGATATATATTAAACATGATCCAGCAAAGATTGTGAGAAATATCGAAATTTAGCAATGCCATTGATAATAAAACATAAAAAAGTCGAACTATTCCCAACTCAGTAACTTCCTTTGCACCGGCACCTTCAGATTCATGAGATAATAGCACATAAAAAAGCAAATTGCTTTCAACTCAGTAAATTGCTTAGCAATGGCAAATTCAGCTTCAGGAGATAACAACACACAAAAGTTTGAATAGCTTCGAACTCAGTAAATTGCTTAGCTATGGCAACTTCAGCTTCATGAGATACTAACACAGCCAAAAAAGTGAATCACCGGCAACTACAGCTTCACGAGGAATATACACAGGAAGAAGAAGGTAGGAACATTGATTGGTCTTGCATCTTACGCTCAATTTTATATTAGCATCCATGAGAAAGTCCAGAATCTCCACGGTAGTCCTTTTGCTATCAGCAGAGGGTTGGCATTTCCACCGCCATTCCAGTTTTACACCTTCCTTCTCAAATGTCCATGATAACTGCAAAATTTTAAAATCATAGCAAGAATTGAGATTCAAAACTAAGAAAGTGACAGTTGGATTTTTCAATATTGCTTCTAATGGAACCTAAGTGCTCGATTATCGATTTACTTTGGTGCCATATCTGCATAGCGAAAGTTCTGCATATGAATTACGTAATATGAACTAATTAGGCTAACTTAGCGAATGCTGATATTAGAACCAACTGATTGAACAGACAAATGTTCATCTACTTCATTTGTTCCAAACTTAGCCATGGCCGATTGATCCTCAGAAAGTAATTTCGAAACGAGAAAGTTAAAATCCAGTAACTGATGAAACGCACCCGTTTGCATCCATTTCCAGCATCCGAAAACTCGTAAACCGATCCAGGCTGCTGAAACCCTAGATACCTCTCGGCCAAATCGATGTAATCCGACACAGTTTGATCCCAATTCGACGCTCTATCCTTCACCTCCTCCTCGTTAGCTTCCCCACAAACAGTTAACCCAAACTAAAATTACACTACAACAAATCAATTTGTATCAATTCGAACGTTATTATTTATACCTACCTTGGCAAGTCCAAGCATGGAGTCCGTCAGTTATGGCGAGGTCGAAGCGAGTCGGATACCACGATCCCTTCACGAACACGGACCCAATCTCACTGCCCCCTGACCGCATTTCCAGTTTCAAGCATGTATGCTTCGGATTATCCATTTTTCGGCGTTCGATCTCTCCAATATCTTGCGAAGGGTGCTCCGTCGGAGAATTCCGGCCTTTGTTGAACAGTCACTTCACTCGTTCAGCTGTATATGGACCCAATTTATGGGTCATTACCCGACCCGCAGAATAAGCCCAATTAGGTCAAAGGAGTATCAAGTTAAGCCCATATTCAACCCTATCTAAATTTTATCAACAATGTTAATAAATTGGGGTAAAAAATAATAATATTTTCAATATAATTAAAAATATATCAATTTTAATCTCGATACGAAAAATTCATCAATTTTTGTCCCATTATAAATAATTTTAATCAACTTTGATTCCATAGTTTAAAAACTAATGAAAATTGATAACATGAACATTACATTAAATAACACAGCCGTATACAATTATACATGCTCATATTATCACGAGACTTGCTCATATTATCACGAGACTTGCTCATATTATCATGAGACTGTATTCAATTACTAAGCAATAATAACCTAAGTGGTGCTGACAATCAACCACGACAGGGCCAAATCAGAATCGGCAAACCTACTAGGCGACAACGTGGCGATTCCAATGATGAATGACTATTTGTAATAAACAAATTTTTAATTACGAGACAACATATATATATGTTTTGTTATAAGATATTATATGTTAGTTATAACATAATATATGTTGTATTATAAGTATGCTATAATAGTATATAATATATATTGATTAGCTTTTGTGATATGCTAACCATGCTGATTTGATTGGTCAGTGCCAGATCTGTCACTTTCATTAGAGTTTCAAAATGCCAATGCGATTAAAGTTCGAATTACATTAACGATGCCAGTTTTTTATATCCAAAAAATTGATCAAACTAGGGTGTGTTTGTTTGGGGGATTGGATTTTAAATCTATTATTCATTCCATTTTTTTCCCCTAAAAATAACAAATCAAACACCTATTTTTCATTTTTTATATTATACTAAAAATCAATTTTACATTCAAAACATCACATCAACACTTATTTATATCACATTATACAACTATTCAAATACAAAATTTTTAATATTCAAATCCCAACTCAAAATCTAAACCCCAAAACCAACACACCCCTAAGTATCATTTGATTTCTAGATATTAGATGGACGTGAGTATATATAGATATGTATATATACATGAATTTGGAAAATAGGAAATTTTTATTTTTATTTTTTTGCAATTTTCCCTGTAATCTATTTTGAGGTTTTTTTTTTTTTTTGTCCTCATTTGTTATGCATTATTCCATCTATCCCATATAAAGTATTTATTCTTTTTATTTTGGTTCGACCAATATAATTTGTCTTTTATTTTTTGAAAAATAATTATATATTTTAATTATATTTTAAATTTCATAATTTATAATTTTTTTAATCCTAATCTATAATTATTTATACTATACAATAATTATTTTTACTAATATAATTTTTAATTACTTACTAATTATATTTTACCTAAATTTTCGTATCTATAGTAACGATCTTATGTACGACACAGAGGAAAGTATAACGATATTTCGATCTAATCTACTATTATAGAAATTGTAAAATCGAAATAAAATAAATGGATTGGACACGTATTATTTATTTATTTATTTATTTATTTATTATTATTATTAATTTTTTAAAAAACATCAGCACCTCTCACCTTTATTGTGAGTGACCCAAAGTTATGGGTTCAATAATTGAATGGCTAATGTCTTGTGAGCTGTCCCCGTTGAAGGATAGACCTCAAACTTTGACACTTTGGCTGATGTTTGCTAATTTATGCGCTTTTGTACCATAAATTGTTGGCTCCATTTATATTCAAATTCTTTAATAACTTACGATATTATTTTATTATTTTTTTAATAAATAATATTATTGATATTTTAAATATTTTAAATATTATATATTAATAAAAAATGTACAATATGAATATTATTTTATAAATAACAAAATTTTATAAAATATAAATAAATAAAAAAGATATATATTTATTTATTTATATTTAACTTAAAAACTAATTTTTTGAAAAAAAATAGGAGTTTTAAATATAAATAAAAATATTTATTTATTGATGAGATATAGAAATAAATAGGTTTTAAGTGAGTCCTTTGCGGCCGAACTGAGGGAGTATATATTTATTTTTAGCCCGAAATTTAAGAAATAATAGTATTGTAATTATAAAGATAGTTAAAAGTAATATAAAGATAATTTTGTTCTTTGATTTTTTTATAAAAGTAATAATGTGACGGTAAAATAAATGTATCCGTGGAGAAAAAGTGAAGTATTTTTAAAATAATTACTTTATAATTGAGCAATTTAAAATAAAAAGATATATACTATGTGAGTGGACTAGAATAATATTATTTATTAATAGTAAAAAAACCAAAATATTTTTTGTTAAAATAATTTTATATAATACACTCCCGCCGTCCCGGTGCAAGGTTGTCGTTTACTTTTTGCACGTAAATTTTTAAGTATTAGTATTATAATGAGTTGTAGTTAAAAAGACGAAAATGCTCCTATTAGTATTATGTAATATAAAAGTAATGACATTTGTATAATATAATGTAAGTTGTAAGAATATTTATTGGGTTAGATAGGTAGTACAATTACTAAATTAGGAAATTGTAACCTTGTTTTGGGACGGACAAAAATAGAAAATGACAATCTTTCAACGGGACAAAGGGAATATTACATTATATACTCAATTTTTTATTATTTTTTAAAAAAATAATAATAAACTTCTTACTTGTAAAAGTTCAAGTGTGTTACTTTAGATGAATTTGCAAAAAATTTGGTTTGAATTTGGTATGAAAATAATGTTTGATAAAATATTTTATAAGAGATAAAATATATTTTTTACGAAAAATGTACAGTCCACATAATAAAATTTGAAAAAACTTTGCTAAAAAAACAGACCCGATATTGTTTACTTTGTCCTAATTATTGTGACTTTGTCATCTCATCAATATATTTATTAATCATATAGAGAGAGAGGTTCAGTTTATATAGAAAAGTTGATAATTTTGAAAATAGTAAAATTTTAATAAAATAATTAATCTAGTATTTTATAAAAATAATTAATCTAGTATTTTATAATAAAAAAAAAATTAAGTATTTAATATAATATTTTTTTAAAAAAAATAAAATTATTGTTAGTAAATAGATTAGTGTTGCAATCCCTTGCTAAGTTAGGTGGTATAAAAATAAACTGCAAATGTTCTGCTATGCATGCACGAAAAACCTGTCTAGATGATTCTAGGTACACATAAGTATTCCCTCGTCCCAATATAATAATCTCGATATCATTTTTGTCCGTCTCACGATAATAGTCTCATTTTCATAAATAATCATATTATTGTAAAACTACATTTACTTTTTCATTATTATTACACAATTGCCACTATTTTTTACACTAATATACTCACAAGGACAAAAAAGTCTTTTACCCATACTTTTTACTCACTACCAATATAATATCAATATTCCTTAAATATCGTGTCAAACCTAACTAAGACTATAGTTTTGAGACGAATGGAGTATTTTATTTAATGTTATTTTAAATAAATAATTGTTTGTTTTGCTTTTGTTAACTTATGGTTATTTTTATATATTGATTTGATATAGAATAATATATTTTTATTAAACATATTTTTTAAAAAAATAATATCGAGACCCGACCCGAATACATATGGTTGGACCCGAGATCCGATTATATCCAGACCTTATCCAAACAATACCCGATGGATCCGACAGACTTGAATTTTCTTTTTTTTTTTTTTTTTGCAATTCTTAATATTTAACTTAAAATTGGATCCGAACCCGGACTTGGACCCGACATATATTTAAATTTATACTTCATCCGTTCCACATAATTTGTCTATATTTTATATTTTCGCTCGCCCCACCTAACTTGTCATTTCTATTCTTTTGAAATATAATTATGCACTTTAACTATATTTTAAAATTTTAATTAAACTATTTACTTATCTTAATCTTCATTTATAATTATTTTTACCAAATAATAATTATTTTTCATAATATATTTTTTAATTACATATTAATTATACTTTACCTAAAATTCTGTGTAATAAGCTCAAAATATCTTGGACGGAGGGAGCATATTTTACTCAAAAATATTATAATAAAATAATAAATAATATACAAATTAAATAAAAAATATAACTTATATGATTAAAAAATATATTTTTTATATATATAAATAATATATTATTAATATATTAATCGGATCCTTGTCCGAATATAGTCCACTCTTAGACTCGAAATCCGATATAAACCGGACTAGAGTACACAATATTCGACTCACACCTGAATTTGATATCTGAGTAATTGGATCTGACCTCAAATAAATGAGTCGGATTCAAATCGACCCGAGGCCATTGACATCCCTAGATGGAGTGACTAGTGAGTAATATTCTTTAGTGGGTGGGTGGGTGGGTTGGTTGGTTTGGACCAAATGCTCTCATTCTGACAGTGAAATGAGAAGAATTGGATTTGTCTGTTTATTGTACTCTATGCTCCAATATCTATTTATCCTATTTTTTATTTTCTTTTTTTACTCGATTTTAAAAATATTAGTATTATATTAGAATATAGTAAAAATAAAAATAAAATGATTAAATTAATATTATTAGTATTGTATGATATAAAATTAAATGTCATTTGTGTAATATATTATAAATTAGAAGAATATTTGTAATATTAAATAAATAATACACAGTTACTAAAAAAAAAAATACTCTATTATGAGACGAACTAAAATGAAAAAATAAATAGATTGTTAAGGGACGAAAGAAATATATAATTTTACTTATTTTTATTATTCTTCTACCAATTTATTTTTTATTTTTAATTTATAAAGCGAGTGAGGATATATTTTTTTTTATAGAGATATGAAGTACTCCATTAAATATGTGGTATTATGATATTTTCTCCGTCTATTGAATTTATATTTTTTTATTTTTTCACTAAAAAGTATTTATTTATTTTTTTTATATAGCAAAAACTTCTTATATAGTTTTCAATCTATATTATTTGATATTATATTTATTTACAGTTACTAATATTTACACATTTACTTTATTTAAAATTTTATTTCATCTTGTTAATTTACTTATATTTTTTTAAAAATATTTTATTTTATGTTATAATCAACTAATATAATATTATATTTATTAAAAACTAACGTCCAACTTATATAAACATAGTATTATATAAAATGATATATATTGTATGCTTGAATTGTTGATTTTTATTGTATGTGTCTAATAATAAATTTTTATTGAATAATGTTTATCTATTAGATAATATTTTAGTGTATAGTGTTAGATATTTTTTGCTTGCAAGAAAATAACTTTAGTTTGTACTTTTTTTTGTTATCGATATTTATATCTATTTGAAAATATCCATTTGATCATACACGAAATTTTAAAAAGGAAAATTGGTAAAAAAAATTATAGTGAAAAAACTAAAAAAGTAATATTCTTTTAATAATAAAAAAACAAAAAACAATTTTTTTTTTCATGACAACTAAAAAAGAAAGTATGTAATAAATTTAAATGACATATAAAGTATTTGATTTTATATTTTTATTAAGTTTTCATTAGATATCAATTAATGTATTGTTTATTTTGTATTTTTTGGTGAATGTGTAAATTGTAAAAGCTCGTAAAAAATAGACTTTATTCAAAAAATTGATTCGAATTCGGTATAAAAATAATATTTGAGTTTTAAAAAAATTAGGTCATACCAATCCGACACGACAGCAAACCAAGTTGGCCTATATATCAAAAATAAAAATACAATCTAATAAAGGTTTTATCTTTTATATGGTAGGTTATGGTAAAATTCTTGTACTTAACTCTTAATATTCTAATTAAGTTGTCTTAGAATTAAAATATTAAAATAAATATTAAAATAAAAAATAAATAAAATGAACTTCAAATACTTATTACAAAAAGTAAAAAAGAAAAATTCAATACTTATTATAAAAAGTCAAATTTTCAAATATTCAACTTAAAATAATATACTCCCTTCGTCCCTTAACAATTTATGAATTTTTTCATTTTGATCCGTTTCATAACAAAGTATCCATTTTTTTTTAGTAATTGTATTATCTACCTAACATTACAAATACCCTTATAATTTACAATATATTACACAAATGTCATTACCTTTATATCATACAATACTAATAGGGTTAATGTAATCTTTTTACCTTTATTTCTACTTTATTTCAATATAATACTAATATTTATAGAATTTTGTGTAAAAAATAAATGAATATATAGATATAGGACGGAGAGAGTATTTTATACTCAAAATACTCCCTCCGTCCCAAAAGTATAGTCTTGTTGTATTGTACACGAGATTTTAAGGAATATTAATATTATATTGGTAGTCGATAAAAAATAAAGATAAATAACTTTTTTTGCCCTTGTAAGTATATCAGTGTAAAAAATAGTGGCAATTGTGTAATAATAATGAAAAAATAGGGATAGTTTTACGGTGACATGATTATTTATGGAAATGAAACTAGTGTTTTGGGAAGGACAAAAATTGTAAACAAGACTATTATATTAAGACAAAATGAGTACTACCTAATTCTCCGTATCACACACAAAAAATCAATCCATCTAAAAACGTTAAATTAACAAAGATATTATATTGTGCCGATCAATTACAATCATCACAAGATAGTACCAATTGCCTATATTTTAATTTTAAAAATATAAAGATTATATAATAAATATTAGACTAAATTGCACAAAATTTACCTGTAATTTTATGAAATTGCGTCAAATCCCCTATACTTCTAAAATTGCGTCAAACTCCCTCATAGTTTCAAAAACTATGTGTCTAACCCCTCGACGCTCCTTATTTAACGATATTTGACCTAAATGCGCTCAAACTGTGAATAAATTTTAGAATCTCAATTTCTAAACTCCTAAAATTACAAATATATATATTTTTTTATATTTAGCCTCGAAAAATAGTAAATATATTCCAAATTAACTATTTTTCTCAAGTTTAAGAGTTTATTTTTACTGTTTTTTAAGTTAATTATAAGAAAAATAAATATATTTGTAATTTTATGGGTTTAGAAATTAAGATTTTAAAATTTATTCGCAATTTGAGTGCATTTATGTCAAATACCGTTAAATAAGGAGCGTCGAGGGGGTTAAACGCAGAGTTTAAAAAACCACGAGAGAATTTTACGCAGTTTTTGAAGTATGAGAAATTTGGCGCAATTTCGTTAAACCACAGATAAATTTTGTGCAATTTAACCTAATAATCATAATAATAATAATAATAATAATAATAATAAAAGAGTGCATAAAAAACAAATGTAAACTACACACGTACATGTCCATTTTATTAAACATAATGATATAGAAAGGGCGTTCTAAGATCAAAGGGTAGGGTCAAATATAACAATTAAAATAATTATATTGATATCTAATGGTCAAATTTTAAATATATAAATGAAACCATGATCGCCATTCGCCACAATAATAAAATATTCTACCAACTTCCCCCAAAAAAGTCTATATTTATATATTCAACCCTTTTTTTACCTAAATGGGTAAAAATCAATCTGATAGTGACACATATTTTTATTCATATCTATCTAATTTTAGAAAGCCCATAGATATGTCACAACCAATTTGTACTTACACTCACTATTAATAAATGACTTTTATTAAATTCATTGATTACTTTATATAGATACTCTTTTTACATAAATATGTTTAAAATATTATAATTTTATTAAAATAATATTTTATAAAATAATTTCTGTTTTTTTTTAAAAAAAAATGCCGAATCCAAATAGTTCTTTCAAAAAATACAAAATCCAACGGTGTCTTTGTTTGGGGGTTTTGAATTTTGAATTGAGATTTGAATAGTAAAAATTTTGAATTTGAATAGTTGTATAATGCTATATAAATAGGCGTTGATGTAATATTTTGAATATAAAATTAATTTTTAATATAATATAAAAAAAAAAAATAAGTATTTAATTTGATATTTTTAAAATAAAAAATAAAATGAACAGTAAATTTAAAATCCTATCACCAAAACAACCACACAGGTAGAAACTTGAAATTCATGCCAAAAGATAAAAACCCTAAATGTATAACATATTAGTATAATATTATTAATTTTTTTAATTGCAGTATTATAATATTAATATTAATAAATGTGTGACAGAAAAAATATGCGTACTGTTGGTTAGACTTTTTGGGAGTTACTATTGCAGTGCCAGGGGTGTCCACGTGGCAGCATGTCAACCACTAGTAGGGGGACTTCGTTTCAGATTCTGAAAGCGCTGTTGTTCATATGGTCTACAATCCATTCCTCAGAATCTCCCAGATTTTAATAATTTCCATCCTCTTCTTGTTGTTGTAGATCGTTCTTGTTTTGTGATTGATTCTGTTTGATTTGATTCTGTTGTGGATGATCTTGTGGTTGAAGCGTGCGAGAACTGCGGGGAAAAGTGGGGAGGTGCAATGAAGGTATTTGATTTGAATGTGCAATTATTAGTTTCTTCGATGGAATTATGTGTCTGTTCCTGTTTCTGTGTGATTTTTTATTTTTTAATTTTTAATTGCAGGTGTAGTTGATTTGTGGACTTTGTTTTTTAGCTTAATTTTTTAGTATAAGCACAAACATTGGGGAGATCTGAGGTTTTTGTGAGTTTTTGGAATTGGAATTAGTGTTTAATTGTGGTACGAGCTTTCTAGAAGTTGTGGTGAAGTTTAATTACTTAGGACGTTGGTTTCTTTGAGGTTCAAATTTGTTTAATTACGATCGGTGAAGTTGTTTTCTGATGTAGCGGAATCAACTATGATCTTCGTTAAACTGTAGTGTTTCTTCATTCGAATCTTTTGTTTTTCGATGCATATATACTTCATTGTTAGAACAATTGCAATAATTTGTTTGAATATGAACTTAAATTAGGTTAATATGGTTGACTTGGTTGTTTATGAGCTAAACTTACATCCTTACCATTATTGAAGATTTAGGGAAAATCAAATTCAATTCTAAGAAACTCGAAAACCTTACGTCGATGGCATCTAAAACAAAACACCACTGGCATAAAAGGTTCCTGGCTTGAAATTTTTCTATATCGTTTGTGTTTAATCTGCAATGGTGTTTAAGCTATAGTTTGTTAAAACTTTCGAATTATGTTATGCTTAATATCTTGTGTTGTAAGCGCGACTCGACAATTTGGACTGGTTGTGTGTTCTTATTCCTGTTTGAGGCTATCCAGATTTAAAAGATGACGAACTTTGTTGATCTACTGAATTACAGGGGATGTGATGATAAGATAAATCAAAGATGAATTTAAATGATGAAGATGTTGATTTAGGACTTGCTTTGGGTTCTACGTATTACAGTGTACGCACGAGGAGGCTGGACAGCAGTTCGGGTGCAGGTGTAAATGCAGATGCTAGAGTCGACATGACATTTGCAGCGTCTGATCCTCTATCGGAATTAGTTTGGTCGCCCCACAACGGTTTAAGTCTCAAATGTGCTGATCCAAGCTTGCCGAATAAGAAACTTTTCAACCTGTGGAATGTGGGGCTGAGCATGAAGGATCCTTCGACATTGCAGATCAGTAGATCCAAGGAGGGTAGTGGCGACAAGAAAGCTGTTGAAGAAAAGTTTGGTGACATAGCTCCAATGTTAAGGTCTTCTGTAGGCAACTCTAATTGTGAGTATGGTGTTGAGTAGATTATTTTTGTGTCGATTATTTCTACATTTCGTGTTTCCAATGGTGATTGTTTGTCGTGGTTGCTAATTAAGATGTTTTCTGTGTTGTTCAGCCGGCGCTGATGCTATCCTAGAGGGAATTACCCGACACAATCAAGAAGAGGGTCCATCAAGTCGACATTTTGCTGATATTGCCGAATGCAGCAAAAGGAATGCTGGTATATCGACTTTGCTTTTCGCCGAATACGATCTATTTTGTGGAAATTTGTGGCTTTTGTTTAGTGATTATCTTTCATCTTCGCTTCCGCAAATGATCATGAGTTTTGTCTTGATGTTTCTGTGTTCATATCTTATAACTATTCTTCGAAAGTGTTAAATTATAGTATATTTATGGTAGTTATCTTATTTAAGAAATTTTTAGAATTCTCATCTTATTTAGATGATTTGCACGCCATTATTAAAATATACGATTTTTTTATTTTTATTTTTTATTATTGAAATAGAGAATTTTAGGTATTTGGGACGTGGCCAATTTTGCTGCTGGTTTTCTGCAGAGCAGGATACATTAGCAGATGATGCTGAGCTTGTTGCTGCTAGTAGCAACGAAATTATTGGCGAAACAGTTCGACTAAATTCCGAACCTCATTCAGAAAAGCTTTGTGAAGGTCCAAACTGTTCTCTTCCAAAATTGGTGTCACAGCAAGAACTGGACAATGAAGTAACATCATCTTCCCAAGAAATTGATGCCAACAAAATTAGTAACCATCTGATGATACTCGAATCCTCTGCCGAGAACGATTTGTGTCGAATGGCTGCAAAGGAGGTTCACAGTCCAGTCGAAAGATCTACAGACAACAGGATTAATCTGTACCATGAAAAGGGGAAAGCAAAAGCATTATCTGATGGGGATATCTACGCGAGATCAGACGACGAAGATGACAGCAACGAGAGCATGGAAAGCTGTAATAGCATCGGATTGTTCTCGAAAGGATTAAAGAGACAGAGGTATGATGGAGAAAAGCAGTTTACCGGAAGCAAAAGATCGAAAAGGCAAATGCTAGCTAGTCGGGATTCTCCTCTACTCGCCCCGCCGGATAGCTCTTTTATGAACTGGATATCGAACATGGTGAAAGGTTTATCGGACTCTAATAAAGAAGGTTCTTCTTCCCTCTGCCTGACCCTCGCTCGATCCAATGAAGCTTGCGAGAGCCCAAAGCCGGGATTCCAATCGATGTTTCAGTCCCTATACTGCCGAAACACCAAACTTCCTATCGTCGGAATAAATAAGGATACTTGTTGTTCCATCGAAGAATCTAAAGAACCTACGGTGGCTGCCAAGAAACCTCTCGAGAATGTTGCACAAGATCAGAACGTTTCAAGAAATACGGAGTTTTCAGCCCCGTTTGATAACAATGCTCGGGATAAAGCTGTCGACACCCCTTTGCCGATAAGATACATTCCTTCGAAAAGTAGCCCTCTTTCCAGTTTGTGGATTACGCGCCTCTACAATAAATCTGTCGATTTAGAGAACTGCGATCAAGTCGTCGAAGAAACTCCTGCATGCTCGACAGAACTCACGAAGCCTTCTGTCAGTTCTACTCATAAACCGAGCCTCGCACAGTTTCCTCACAAGTTAAGAACCTCGGATGCAATGGCGTCCATTTTCGCGAAACGATTGGATGCATTCAGGAACGTTACGCGTGCAACAGGGCAGATGAAGTCTTCGTTGACATCTGCGCAAATATGCTTCTTTTGTGGCAGTAGTAGCCATGATCTACGGATATGTCCGGAGTTAACAGAAGCTGAGCTCGACGATCTCTTGGTAAAAGTAAGTGCATTCGACAGGGTTGACGTATCTCCCAGTTTCTGCATCAAATGCTTTCAGTTCGATCATTGGGCGAGTTCGTGCTCCGCGTCGCATCAACATAAGGTGCGCACGAGCTGCCTCGTTCAACTTCTTCCCGTCAATGATGACCGGGACAGAGATGATCATAAGCTTGCCTACTCTGAATGTCGGAGGAACACTGCGACAAATAACATTCGAAGATTTCCACAGTTTAATTTCCATTCCGCGGCACAGAATGCAGATACAGCTGCAGAGGGAGAGGCTCTTCACGCGATAATCAAGTTACGCCTGTCGCGCGGCGATGTTATCAGGTGAATACATAAATATCGCCTTCGTACTCGCTTGTGTTCATATGTATTTATTTCGTAATTTTGATGCTCGATCAGATGGATGAACTCCAACGAGTCGCTATCGCGCTTGAACGGATATTTCCTGCGCGTACGCCTCGGAAGCTCCGATGCAGGTCTAACGGGAACGGGTTACTACGCTGCTCGCATTACGGGTAAATTTTGTTTTCATTTTTACCTATGATACGCAATTTTTTCATACTGAGGTCAGTTAACTTATTAAATGACCATCTCGCTTAAAAATGATTAGATTAATATGAAAATACATTGTTAATTTCATACTTACTTCGTCCGTCTTTAAGAATCATATTCATCTTTTGCTGTACTTATAGTTTTTTGTACAAATGATATTCTATTGGTATTATAACACTAATGAAAGTATTTTTTCAATTTTTTTCTTAATTTGTATTACGTTTTGATATAATAATTAATATTTAAATATCAATATTCAAAAAGTAAATGAGACCTTTAGAGCCGGACAAAGGTAATATTATACAGTTTCTGTTAAACGACCATTTTCAACTAAAAATCTACGAGATGATTATTTACGCCGTCTCTTCTCTTGTTACTTTTGTATGGCGCATAGGCAACACAATAGAGCGCATCGGTCACAAGTCGAAGAAGACTATTTTGGTAGATGTCGGGGGGATTCAATCATCGGTTGGGAGTCAATACGTCTCCAACCATGATTTTCTCGAGGTTCATGCTAACTAAAACTACTCGAAATTATTTCTTACTACATGTTTGCTTATTCATCGCGCGTGATGACTAGAAACTTATTTTTTTATTTTTATGTTGGTAGGACGAGGTTAAGGCCTGGTGGAGTCGAGTGGTGAATACGGGGAGCAGCATTCCATCGTTGGCAGAGTTGAACTCGAAATTCAACGAGAGAAAATGTCTCGGCTTTTAGACAAATATCGCATTCGTATTTCTGTGACAACAAGGTACACACTGCGCCTAAAAGTGTCCCGCGAATGCATGGGGAATATATTTATACGTAGATACATTTGTGTGTATATGTATATATATATATATATGCATATGTATACATTGGTGTTAATTATGGTGTGTTTGTTTCCCTTCTCGCTTTCGAAATTTTGAAATCGAAGTGATGGCTATGTACGTTTATGTATGTGTGATATATTTAGGTGAACAGTTGGAGCTGAGGATTTGTTGTTGGTGTACTATTGTTTATTTGTACGTTATCTTTTTTTTTTTAGGGATGTATAATGTTCTCATATGATATATTTTGAAAGATAGAGAAATATTTTAAGATTTGACTTGTACGTATGTGTTTTTTCGATGTGAAGTAGAAGAAATTACGTAAATAACTTAAAAATGCCTGTCTGTTGTCAGATTAGGAAGGACTTCGACGGTAGAGTTCAATGTGATTCGCCTATCGGACCTGATTTGCAAAATATTAGGTTCAGTCAAAGGTTTATCCGGTGCGGCGCTTTCGGTTCTATGTCATAAAAAGAATAATTGATATATGGTACAAGAGCATGTTTTATTTAAATAAAAATTATTTGTGTTAAAAAATAATTGATATATTTGATTTGAATTGAATATGAAAAAAATAAAAGAATAGTTACATGTCACTCGAATGAAAAGAATATAATTATTATTATTATTATTATTTTCTCACAGTTCACAAATCTCAATATTATCGAGTATATAAAGATAATTGAAAGAAATAAAGAATAAATAATCACATAATTCTCAATTTCCAATAGCAAACAAACAAACAAAAGTAATAAATTTATTTCAATTCTTCTGCTATCAATTTTATGTACCCAACGCCAGAATGTTTTTTTATTTTGAATAACATGATATTGTTGATTTTTTATTGGGCTTCTTCTTAAAGAAAAATTATTGGGCCGAGCCCAATTACCAATTCTCCACCCTAAACCCTTGCCATATATATATATATCTTCCTCTCCATCTTTCTTGGTCTGCACACCAACAGAAACCCTAGCCGCGGCCGGAGCTCAGATTTGGTTGCAGCGTTCTGCAACACAGTAATTCCGACAAGCAACCATGGTAATTGGTTTCCGGCACGCTCTCAGGTTTATATATTTAGTCGCGTTGTCTGGATTCGGTCACTGATTTTGGATAGAATTTCAGGCGGATGTCGAAACAGAGGTGGCGGCGGCGCAGCCGAAGAAAAGAACGTTCAAGAAGTTCAGCTTTAGGGGTGTTGACCTCGATGCACTCCTCGATATGTCCACTGATGAGCTCGTGAAGCTCTTCAATGCTCGCGCCAGAAGAAGGTGAGTTGTGTTTTTGAACTTTTTCCGACGCGGTTAAGATTTATTTGTTTGGCTCTAATCACTTAATTGGATGAATTTTATATCTAATACGTTAGTTAATTGGTTTCCCTATCAATTTAGGTTATTCTGGATTTCACCGTTATTGTTATTCAAGATTAATAGTGAAAATGATGTTTGTTGAAGTTATGGATCAATGATAGCTTAACATGTTTTTTTATTTTTTTAAATGAATTTCAATGAGTATTTTGACCAGACATTTGATTGTTTGTGCTACTTTTTATTTGTTGTTTAGCCCCTGATCATGAATTTGTGGCCTTTTTTTTCCGGTGAAATTGTGATTGGAAGTTCGACATTACTGTTTGGAAATTAGGATGAGATATTGTTTAGTGGTTGATTATGATGTAATCCATATTTGATTAAAAATAAATTTAAAATATATATTAAATATTCAAGAGACCGAAGATTATATTATGTAATCCGTAGTTTTTTTAAAAAAATTATACCCCAGTATATATATTAAATATTTAAGAGGCCCAAGATTATAAACAGTCGCAACTTGAAAAAATTTTGGGAAATGTTTGAGATGAAAAGGTTGGGAGCATAGTGTAAACATGGAATGAGAGGACAACAAACAAAGTTTTGATTGTTTATAGATATTTATTATGGATATGTATAGGGCAACATTTTTGTGGAATTCAATGGGTTCAGTTTTTGATTACTTACATAAATATGAATGCAATAGGACCATTAATTTAGTAATATGATGGTAGAAATATGAAATATTTTCCGTTGTTACTCCAATATATTAATTATAAAAGTATATCTGTCCCGTGTATTCGGCGATACTTTCTGGGCTTTACATGTTCAAGATGCAATGCACAGGTTTCAGAGAGGTTTGAAGAGGAAGCCGATGGCTTTGATCAAGAAGCTGCGCAAGGCGGTGAGTTGTCGAATTAGTTTGTCCTTTAGCCTGGTTTTATATTCTGTTTTTGGTTAAAATGTTTAATTTTCTTGAACCTGCTTTTATTTTGAATCTGGTGTTGTTTGAGCAAATTCTGAAGTGTTTTAGGGTGTGTTTGTTTAGAATTTTGGACTTTGATTTGAGATTTGAATAGTAAAAAAATTGAGTTTGAATAGTTATATGATGTGATATAAATAGGTATTGATGCGATGTTTTGAATGTAAAATTAATTTTTAGTATAGTATAAAAACTTTGAAAAATAGGTGTATGATTTGATGTTTTTGGGAAGAAAATTTTTTATGAATAGTAGAAATTTGTTAAAATGTTATAAACTTACACACCCTTAATGTCTATTGATTCTTTTCCACATGTATCAACTTATCTGAATTTCTAGAAAGTGTCGAAGAAGTGCAATATAACAAATTATCAACTGAACTCAATTTATTACCGAATGGCGACATTTCTGATTTTGATTTCAATTTTGTGTACTTTCATTATAAGCCTCAGATAAAAGAAATGGAGCTTTATTTTGTTGCAGCTATGGTTAATTTTTCATGGACTTTGCATCTCGTTTTCTCATTGACCTTTTTATCATTTCTTCTACAGAAACGAGAAGCTCCACCAGGTGAGAAGCCCGCCCTAGTCAGAACCCATCTACGCAACATGATCATAGTTCCCGAGATGATTGGAAGTGTCCTCGGCGTGTACAACGGAAAGACCTTCAATCCAGTTGAAATCAAACCCGAAATGATCGGGCACTACTTAGCCGAGTTCTCCATCTCATACAAGCCCGTCAAGCACGGCCGACCTGGTATTGGTGCTACACACTCTTCCAGGTTCATTCCTCTCAAGTGAGAATTCATCTTTCGAACTCCCAATTGTCCCGTTTCTCAAATTATCCTTACTTTAGTTTTAACGTCTTATTCAAATCATGTGGATTTTCAACTATGTTTTGAGTTATTTATGAGAAGCTTCGCATCCATTTTTGTTGGTTTAATATTTATGTTTACATAGAGTTATCTAGCAAATGTGATTTAAATTTTTAGGCACTTTGCTATATTCTCTTCGAGTTCCCTTAACAAAAATATGCATTGCTTCTTTTTTTTTTCTTTTTTTGTCTACTTTACGTCTGTCGGTTTCTGAATTTCCTTTCGACTTCAAATAATTTCATCTGCACTGCCTTCTCCACCTCTGCTGCTGTTTTTATCTACAAATTCGAAATTTTGATTTATATTCAGTCTGTCCACTCACATTTTTAAATAAATTGATTTGTTTTGTGTGGTATTGGAAACTGTGTTAGTAATATAAAAAATAATATATTGTGTTGAATGATTGACTTTTTATGAGTGGATAATGTATATATTATATTAATGTCTGTGTATATTTGTATTTTTTTATTAATATTTATCTGGATTTATATTATGTTTGTGTAAGAGCACAGCATTGTAGAATAGCTTTGTACCTTAGTTTCAAAGTCTAGTGTTGCTGCTAAAAATTCGTGGTTGGAAAATTTTGATCGAATAGAAGTTGCCGTAGTTTCGGTGTTTTTCATACACTTTAGGACTTGTAACATAGAATCTATACCCGAGGCCGGATTAGTTATTTGCAACTTGATCTGAGCTCTTTCGATCGAATTGCTGGTAATGTCTGTTGTGGATTTTATTTCGACTTGTTTCCTCTCCAATGCTACCTTGTATTGTTGGAGCTCTCGGATTTCCTCGACTGGAAGTCTCTAGAATTGAATTCTTTTCACCCTGTAAATCGATTTTTTGAGCGATGATAAGTTTTTGTTTTGATTTGAATAATAGTTTGAATGTGATATTTTGTCGATTCATATGTGTCTAAGTGAAATTGAAAGATTTTGGAAGAGATTATCCAACCAGGACTGGTCCTATGTTCACTCTCAACTAGTTGTATTTCTTATAAAAAAATATTTCTTTCAAACAATAGTTAAGATTTTACCTTATAAATATGCAAACAAGTGCTATGTGATTTTGTGTTAATTAACAACTTCGGCTCTCATTATATATATATAATTTTGGTATTATTCATTAATAGTATTTTTTAAAAAATTTATTATATTAGATATTTATTTTTCTTCACAAATATTATACTCCTATTAGAAGTTTTTATTATTATTATTGTTCTGTGTTTGGATTGTGAAATCTTGCTTAGGGTTTTGAATTTAAACCATGTTTGGTGCAAAGTTTTGGAAAAAGAAAATTTGTATTTTGTTCGTCCAGCTTCTAATATAATATTTATTTTTAAATAGAAGTATATAATAAAGCGACAATAAAAAAATTTAAAAACTTTAGTGAGCGGAAGCATAAATCTGTATTGGTAGGCAGCAATTTATGCAAAGCTTGGTAGTATTTGCGATGTTCCCGCCGGAGACATTGCGTGGCGAGTGATGTCTGGTGCATTGCGTGTGATGTTCCCGCCGGAGACATTGCGTGGCGAGTGACTTCCTCTTGGCAACATTATTCTTCTGAGTATGTAATACCGCGGATCGGGTTGGGGTTGGGGACAGGTTCTTGAAGACTTGAGGAGAGTTGGAACACTTGCTTATCCATATTTTGTGATTTTTAATTTTATCATTCTTTGGATCATGGGATCGAAAATAAGGCTGCCTTTTTATTACTTGAGAAAATGGCATATGCAAACGTCAATGCGTGTGTAAAATATGTTTCGACGTTTGACAATAATAATAATATATATATGTATTGTTTGACTATAGTGATGTATGTACCTTGTATAATTTGACTACATGGATATTATATGTATATATATACATATTGTAGAGAATGGTCAACGCAATCACAGTCAACACGGGTGGATGTGAGCCGGAGATTTGGATTTTGAATTGAGATTTAAATAGTAAAAATTTTGAATTGTAATAGTAGTATGATGTGATAAAAATAAATGTTGATACGATGTTTTAAATGAAAAATTAATTTTTAGTATAAAAATTAAAAAATTAATTTTAGTATAATATAAAAATTGAAAATTTGGTAATTGATTTGATATTTTTGGAGAAAAATTTTAATAAATAAAAAGATTTTTGCAAAATCCTTTAAACGAACGCACCAGGTTTTTGTGCTTAGACCAGCATGGCCCAATTATCCAATTCCAAATTGAATCAAAATTTAGGTTCAAATATGATCTGTTTTGAAATAGAAATGCAATTTTGGACCTATTTGGTTTTTTTGGGTATGACTTCATTTCAAATTTGTGCCGGGTAGTGATTTTGGATTGGACTGTGTCAGCTCAATAATTTCAACTTTAATTTTAAATATAATTTATGTAATTTTTTTTATAAAAAATTATTATATTAATCTAAATAAATATAATTATGATAATATAATACTCCTATTTTATTGATAATAAAAAAATTAGACATTAAATATATAATTATATTTAATAAGTATTTATACTTCAAATGTTTTGATCAATTAGCCGTGTCTGATCCAAAACAGTCTATACTTAAATTGAATTTTCGGACTGTATTTATCTTTATCTGTTTTAGTCTGAAATTTGCACTGAGTTTTTGCAAAATTATGTTAGCTAGATCAACTTCATGACAACTCATGCTTTTTACTTTATTATATAGGAACTCGTAATTACTATTTTTTAAATATACGAAAAAGAACTCAAACCAAAGAGTAATACTCCTTCCGTCCACACACAAATTAAACATTTATTTTTGGCACGATGTTTAAGAAATAATAGTATTTTAATTATAGTGGATAGTTAAAAGTAGTAAAATGACATTTTTGTCTTTGCTTTTTGGGGTAAAAGTAACGATGTGATGTAAAGTAAGGGTATTTGTGGAAAAAGTGAGGTATTAAATGAAATATTTACTTTGTAATTGGACGTTTCAAAATAGAAATATGTATATTTTCTAGTTGGACGGAAGGAGTAATATATAACATGCAAAATTATGCTAGCAAAATTAATCACACCAAGTAACAATTTAAGAGGCTTTTTTATCCAAAGTTATAAAATTTGAAACACAAAGAACATTACATGAAAGTCCTTGGAATGAACAAGCCTGAATGCAGCTTGGTGAAGCAGAAACCTTATACATTTGTCCATACAAATTTATCATTGTACAAAAATTTACTAAACTCAATGTGAGACAATGGAGAGTAAAAAATATTCCATCCGGCCAATATTTAGCTCATTTGGGCTTGACACATAGATTAAGAAAAATAAATATTTTATTAAAAAATAGAAAAATAAAAAAATATAGTTGAAAATATTTTTGAAAATTTAGTTAGGAGTTAGAACAAAGAGATAATATAATAAATATTGATTTTTTTACTTTTTCAAATATAGTAATAGGATAAGCTTAACGGATGGACAAAAAAAAAATGAGAATAAATTTGACGAACGAATAGAGTAATAATGACTCGAATATATTTTGGTTAAACTTCCGACCAAACTTAGGGCGTGTTTGGCAATTAGCTGATAACTGTTAGCTGTTAGCTGATTCGATTAGTTGTTTGTAATAAAATATTTGGTAAAGCAACTGTTTCATATTAGTTGTTTATATGTAAAATGATAATTGAGGACATTTCTATTTTATTTTTGTTTCTAATATATTCAATTATGTTCTTTTTAATTTAGAATGTTTAAAATTTTTTGTTATTATTTATTGAAAATTGTAAAGGTGTTATAAAAGTATTTATTTTTATTACAATTAGATTTAAAAAAAATATATTTTTATTAAAATATATAAATAATTTTTTCTATTAAAAATGATGTAAAATATAAAATAATAAATTTTTAGTGTATATATTTATTTAGTCAGTTATCGATTAGTTCATTATATTTATAATTTTCAATAAATTTAATTTATTTAATTTATTTTTTAGTATAAAATTTATATAATGTACTTTTAATATAAAAATAAATTATTAATATTTATATTTTCTATTTTATATTGATTTTAATAAATTTATATATTTTAAAAATTAAAATAATTTTTATATAAAAATTAATTATTTTAAATTTATAAAAGTAAAACTATAATATAATAAAATATTTTAATATAATTAATAAATAATCAAAATATATTTATTTGTGTAAAATGCATAATAAATTTTTAAGGGCATATAAGAAATAAATTTTTTTTTACAGAAAAAACTATTTCAAAACGCAAGCCGGGTAAATTAGCTTTTTGGATCCAAATAGCTATTCCAAAAAACTAATTTACCAAACACCTAAATTATTTTTTTGACAAACAGTTAAAAATTGTTCAAATAAGCTAAAAGCTCTTAAAAAACTATTTGCCAAATACCCCCTTAATAATCTACAAACTAGACAAATTATACTTGGACAAACCATGTGTGACAGATAAAATTCGAAAGCATTGAAAGTTTGAACCTAATTTTACGATTACAAATCTACTCTCCATCAAACCATATTTTACTAAAATCAGAGTTGCATTTACCTTTTACTTCAACACAACACAGGATGATTTATCAATAAAATTTTGTTTCAAACATATGATTATGAAATAGATGGTAATAGCCCATAATAGTAGATGTTTTGGCAAAAGTTAAAAAAAAAAAAAAAAAAAAAAAAAAAAAAGAAAACTAAAACGAGAACAGGAAAAATAAGAGAAGACAACATTAACATTTTGTAAATGTCCGTAAATCGTAAACCCAGAAAGCTCTACGCTCCTCAAGAATAACAGTTCAGTTCAGACCTGATAGATCTTGCCATGAAAACTAATCCTTTCATAGAGCTTCGGAATTTCCGGGTCCCGATACGAAGTTGTAAGGAAAATTTGTGTCCGGACCGGCATTACGCGCAGCGCCATTGCCTCCATCATCAACACCATCGTCTGTTTCCAGATAGTCGTTATGAACAAGATCGACATTTTCATCATCCGTGTAAGTTCCGCTGTCATTGGACATAACATCAGCTTCGTCTTCCTTGTCCTGCAAAAAGATGAAGAATTTTTCCATTTCTTGTTAAGGTAATGGCCGAGAAGAAGAAAAGGCGGCACTCGATATATGCATTTGAAGTAAGCCATATCCAATCATTTAAAATCTATTATCAAATCCAAATTCATCGAACCAAACGAGGGCCTATAGGTATTACTATAATCTTTACACACTATCTATTGATGGACAAAGGGAGAATTGTTATGTTGTCTATAAAAATTAGAGCCGACAAAAATTGACCATCACGAAATACTTAAATTTGGATAAAAAATTTCAATTCGATTATGTATACAAATTGACACGAATCCGATACGATAATAAATAGGTTGGATTAGGGTTGAGTCTCTCAGCTCGAATCTAACACGAAAACCGATTATAATATATTAATATTAATTAATATATTTATTACATATGTAAAATAATTATGATTATATAATTAACCCATATATTAATTTAATATAAGGTCAATCTTAAATAATTCAATCTAATTGATTGTGCACATTACACTATAAACAACAAAATCTAACATAACACCACAACATGACAAAAATGATTGAATTTGAATCAAAGATTTCGATTTAGTTATATATACAGATCAACACGAACCCGACATGATGATAAACGAGTCGGGTTAGGGTTGGGTTATTTAATCCGTTTAAAGTAGTCAACTCGACACGAATCAACCATTGCCAGCTCTAATAAAATTGAATTGAAAGCATTGACGAACCTCGCTGTTCTCGTCTTCTGATGGATAAGCTGAATCCAGTTTGTTATAAAGTTCTTCGTCTCCTCGGTCTTGAACAACTCCCATTTGTTCCTGCAATTGCCGAATAATAATTTCAAGAACATTCATCAACGGCGCAAACGCAATGTGCGAAGAAAAACAACAAAAGAAATGTAAAAGTAGCATAAAAACAGCCATACAATTTCTGATCTGAGCTGGTTCACTCGTGCTTGCAGCTTTGATATATGGTCGGAAAGTGCCTGTCGAAAAACAAAAACAAAAATACCAATCGAATTCAAATCGAACAACTGCATTTTAAAATAAGCAAAATTGTTCATAACAAAATCGTGAGTTGAAAATTTTGCATTATTCTCTTTCATACTTTAAAAATTGCATGAGATTCTCTCGTGTTTTAGAAAACATTACATAGGATCTTCTAAAAATTACAAGAAGTTCGTATTTTAGGGAATTTTGTGCAATATTGTCGAAACATAAAGGACCTCATGCAATTTCTAAACTATAAGTGAGTTACGAACAATTTTGTCTTTCAAATAAAATGCTACCTCTGTCCCATAAGAATGGTACAATTTTTTTATTAAAAATATCATTATATTTGTATAATTTACTCCACAAATGTCATTGTATTTGTATTATAAGAGACTAATAGAGATATTTTTGTATTTTTTTCTTGATTTACACTGCGTATTAATATAATAACTAATATTCAAAGATCAACATGCAAAAAGTCCATATTCTCTTCTTATTCGTACCTGATGCCTTTGAAGTTCGATTGATCGTGCCAAGGCTTTCCTTTTCGTCAACAGATTCTTCGGCCTAAGCGACGGAGGTCTCGAATAATCCCTTCCCCGGAAAACTATTACGGCATATCCTTTTGACACCTTATCTACCGAAACCAATACGCCGCCACTCTCGGCTTCGAGCGCAAGGGCAATATCCTTAACCTCTTCAATGTTCGGAGCCTTGACGATGATCTTGACAAGTTCTCGATATTTCCAGTGCAAGTGCATGTTCTCTACTGTCCCGTCAAAAACTCCGCGCCGACCTGTAAGATATAGTCTCACATTATAATTTGTACGAAAGGCGAAACGACGATTTTATTCAGTGTAAGGATGTCGTCGTGTTACCAAGAAGTAGAAACGCTTTCATTCGTAAACCGAGCTTTCGGAACATGAACCTTTCCTCATCGGTGAGGCTTTCGGTTTCCTCCGAACGATCCGCGGGATTTAAAGACTCCTCCACCTTAGACAAGGCGCGTTCAGCTTTCGTTATCTTTTTTAGAGCCTGGTTCGGAGAACAAATAGGAACGATGCTCAATAACGTGAGGGCAGTATAAAGATTCGAAAAAATGGTGCAACTTACGAGATTAAGTTTATTCTCCAGCTTCCTTACGATGCTGGCGTGCCGTAAGATTTCGACTTCTTGCATCATTTTATCCTTGTGGTCATCGTCCAGTTGATTGCCCCATCGGGTGTCGGCATCCAGTGTTTCTTTCAGTGTACCGGCGATTCCCGACTCATCAGTATCTTCCGCATTCGTTGTAACTAATGTTGACGCTCTTGATCGCGCTAGTTCTTCCTCGTCCTGTAAGGCCTTTGCCAGTCTCTCTTTTTCCAGCAATGCTTCGGCAACGTCCGGCGACAAAAAGTTCTTCCCTCGGTAGAATACTAGGTAGTCTTTATTCCTCGAGAGCAATTTTCCCCCGGTTAATTTCTGCACATTGTCCGCAACGAAAAAAAGATCGAAATCTCTTGTAAGGGTTCGAACTAAGGGATCACTGAAGATTTTATGCATTTACCTTAAGATCCTCTGCCATTCTCTCGCTCGTTGTTAGCTGAACGCCGCGTTTGAGTGCAACTTTTGCGATCGAACTTCTTTCCCATAGCTTTATCATGGCTGCGGCCAATCCTTGATGCTGCCGGCTTCTTCCTGAATACAAGAAATCGTTGATAAAACCTTACTTTCAATCATCGAATGATTTATTTACACAAGAATTCATATACCTAGCGCGAAATGTGGCGGCAGTGCTCTAGCAAGCCTTTTCAAAGAAGTTTCCTCCTTTCTGGCGAGCGTTGATCTAACGCCGTAAGGGAGTAATCTAAAGGGAGGTTGAAAACCGGGGACAATGCCGGGGAGCAAGTCAGCATCGACTGGAAGTGGACCATCTCCCGGCCAATCTTCATATCTTGGGCCTAGGCCATCGAGCAATTCGTCTACTTCTTCTTCGTACCTCACTTCAGATGTCGACTTTTCAGGAACGGTGTCAGTTGGATCAGATTTGAGTTCTTTAGCTTCCGGTGCTTCTGTATTCGATATAGGTTCCGTTTTGGAAGAATCTTGAGGATCATCCTTGTCTGTGGCGGAAGGGATCTCGTGAGGTTTTTCATTTCTTTTGAATACCCTTTTCTTCGATTTTTTTGTAGGATCTTCGTAGGTCGCACCTCGATAAAGTGCAACTGAAGTACCCGATCTCCAGATAACCAGTCCTCCAGTTTTTCTCTAAGCAACAGAGATACAGTTTTAATGAACAAAATCGAAAACAAATGGCATATTAGCTGCATCTTCATCATGAATTCAAATAACTAGAGAACTCGCCATTCAGCTCTGTTAATGCGAAGAACAGATGCAATTGCAACCCGAAATACCAAAACTAATCGGGATCTAGCTCATGAATCACAAGTTAGGTTGAACACTCTGTCTACTTTTTCCCCCTTGACAACATTACCAAGAACATACAAAATAAGTATAATGCAACACGGCTACGAGCTTATAATCATTCAGACAATGCCATCTACAAATACGTTATAAACCAAAATACCAAAACTAATCGGGATCTAGCGCATGAATCACAAGTTAGGTTGAACACTTTGTCTGCCTTCCCCCCCCCCCTGCGTATAATCATTCAGATAATGGCATCTACTAATACGATATAAACCAAAATACCAAAACTAATCGGGATCTAACTCATGAATCACAAGTTAGGTTGAACACTCTGTCTATTTCTTTTCTCCGTTGACAACATTACCAAGATTATACAAAAAAACCATAACGCAACACAGAAATGAGTGTATCATCATTCACATAATGCCATCTAAGAATACGATAACACATCTAAATTACAGCATATTAAACTTTTCACATTGAACATCGCATTAACCTACGTAAATTTTCCCCCTTGAAAACATTACCAAGAATATACAAAAAAGCTATAATCTTTATGCCATCGACAAATACGACATCACATCTAAATAACAGCCCATTAAACTTTTCACATTGAAGATCGAATTTAACTATGTGATTGCGCCCGGATTTTCTAATACAATGCCGTCACATTCCATTAGACTCCTCTGCAACTTTTCGAAGACAGTTATAACAGCAAGAACAAGCCATAGAACACACTAAAGCTTAAGCAACAATCAAGAAAAAAACATCTTACCAATCCTTAATCCTCACCTCCAAAATGTCGTGAATTCGTTTCATGTTAAGCGCGGGAGCTCCTTCGATCTTCAGCCGAACAACCTCGGACGACTTCCATTTCTCACGGATCATCTCCACAACCTCTTGTGACACCCCTCCACCCCCTACCTTCGTCTTGTTCTTCACCCTGAGAGCCAAATTCGTCAGCCGTCTCCTCTCCGATTCGGGAAGTGTCAATTCTGCCAAACTACGTCTCCTCCGACTATCGACCGACGGTTTCGGCACATTGGCATCACTCTTCTCCCATGGAAACCGCACCTCCCCATTGCCTACTGCAACCACATTCTCATCTCCAAAAGGGAACTCCTCTGAAAATCCTCCATTGGCGTTGGGCAACAAACCTTCCTCAACACGGAAGATGTCTTCAATGGAACCTTTCTCAACCATTCCACTCATCTCCCTGTTCTTATCACCATCAACATCTTCAATGTACCCGAATTTCTTCAACTTCTCGACGATCCTTTCCATTGTGCTGCCACGAGTACTGGTACTGGTGCCTTCTTCAGCATCCGAGCTCGATACATCGCCTCGATTTCGATAGTTTATCGCTTCCTGAGGCTTTCTCCTACCATGAGGCTTCGAGGTTGCATTCCAATTATCCAACCAGGAACTCCGCGACGAAATCCCCCTATTACTGCAAATTAGGGCTCCGCTAGGGAAATTCCATCCGATTTTCTCGTTATTAAGCAAACGATTGAATCGTTTACACGGATCCCTCCGGAAGTCTCTGGAAATCGGTTTTGCACTGAAGAGACAATGTTTGATAGGAACGGAAGGGCCATACCTGAACAACCGGCGAGACGCCGCTGCCGCATGGAATTTGTAAACCGATGTCTGGAACGAATCCATCAGCAAGGGGTTTTGTGGATGAAGCTGATAGCTAGACAATGCCGTCGTCATCCTCAGACGCTAGAGCACATTCAGCAGCATAAAGCGCATCAATTGGCATAAGAAAACTGCCTCAGAAACTCAGAAATTCATAAGATTTCGCGGAGGAACAGAGAGGTGTAACCGTGTATTCAAGGCTCATACAGTTAGAAATCTGAAGGTTTTGGGAAGGTTTATCGGTGGTGAATTGGCTGTGTGTTGGTCTGTTCGTCAGATATTATCTACCAGGTGCGCATGTTAGCACAGTCCACCTAAAAATGCTAACTTGCACATATTTCTGTATTTATTATAAAAGAAATGAAGGAAGAAGAAAATGGGACTTTTTATATTCAGAAGGGAAAGTTGCAGCAATTCAAAATACTACGGAGACATTGCAGGCTAAGATATTGCTCTCTCGATCTATCTACCGCTTTCGATCGTTGGTTGATGATTTTCGTCTGAGTAGAGTGGGATTTCGGTATGTTTTTTAGTTTAAGTGTATCTATACTTTTTTTTTTTTTTTTGAATATCAATTTCTCTAGCTGTATGGATATAGATGTGCATCTGGAACTGGATCTGTGTGAATTTTGAAGGTTTCAGTTTTTGCTAGGTTGAAATGATTGAGTTATTGTTGTTAATATTTCTATGCGATTGTCCTATAACTCAAATTTTTTTTCCAAAAAGTTACAGGATTGTTTAGGTATCGTTGCGAAACTGTTCATCTGTTACAACAATAGGTAATTCCAGACGAAAAGATTGGTATTTGATACAACAATCTCTCTTTGATGAACAATAATTTGCATCTTGTTGGTGTTGATGCGTGTAGACGGGTCTGAGTATCTTAGAACTTGCATTCATGGCGGAATACATAACTGATTGAAATTCAAACCCTGCTATGCACTGATGCTTGTGTATTTACTTATCGTTCAGCTTCAAATTTAACAGTAAGCACTTACTGCAGCACCGGTAGCTGTAAATCTTCGAAACTGCATTGATTCTGCTTCCAGATTTGAGTGCTAAAATGAGTTTGGGTATTTTGTAGGGTTTTTCAATTTCCTCAACAGTACCTTGCAGGCATTGGAACATCTTTAGGACTCCGAACATTGTAGCGATCCGTTGCCATCTTTGATCCAACACTTGTCTTTTCAGGTGAGTTTTCGGATCAGTTTTCTTCAATCATTGCATTTACTTAGCCACTACTCAAATTTGGGATTCTGTAAAATCCACATCCTTCGTTGAGGCTCGAGGCTCTGAATCTGTGTTTTTGTCTTTTGTTTCCGGATCAAAGTTTTCTTCAATGGAAAAATTTACTTAGCCACTGCTAAAATTTGGGATTCTGTAAAATCCACATCCTCTTTGAGGGTCTGATCTGTGTTTTCGTGTTTCGTTTTCGGATCAAAGATCTTTTCAATCGACAAATTTACTTAGCCACCGCTCAAATTTAGGAATCTGTAAAATCCAGATCCTCTTTGAGGTTCTAAATCTGTGGTTTCGTCTTTCCTTTTCGGATCAAAGTTTTCTTCAATAACACATTTACTTACCCACTGCTCAAATTTGGAATTCTGTAAAATCGAGGTTCTAAATCTGTGTTTTCGTCTTTCATTTTCAGATTAAAGTTTTCTTCGATAACACATTTACTTAGCTGCTGCTCAAATTTGAGATTCTGTAAAATCGAGTCTAAATCTGTGATTTCGTCTTTCGTTTTCGGATCAAACTTTTCTTCAAATCGACACATTTACTTACCCATTGCTCAAATTTGGGATTCCGTAAAATCGAGGTTCTAAATCTGTGTTTTTATCTTTCGTTTTCAGATCAAAGTTTTCTTCGATAACACATTTACTTAGCTGCTGCTCAAATTTGGGATTCTGTAAAATCGAGGTTCTAAGTCTGTGATTTCATCTTTCGTTTTCGGATCAAACTTTTCTTCAAATCGACACATTTACTTACGCACTGCTCAAATTTGGGATTCTGTAAAATCGAGGTTCTAAATCTGTGTTTTCGTCTTTCGTTTTCAGATCAAAATTTTCTTCGATAACACATTTACTTAGCTGCTGCTCAAATTTGGGATTATGTAAAATCGAGGTTCTAAATCTGTGATTTCGTCTTTCGTTTTCGGATCAAACTTTTCTTCAAATCGACACATTTATTTACCCACTGCTCAAATTTTGAATTCTGTAAAATCTACATTCTCTACGAAATTCTAAATCTCTGATTTCATCGTTCTCAGATTACTGCCATGCTGCGCGAAATTGTATTTATCCGAAGAGTCGGGATTCCCGTGAGCTCCCAGCAGAAGAACCGGGAGGTTCTCGCAAGCGTTCTAGCCAATGCTCTTCTGAAGCAGCTGTTGAACAATAAAGCCTGTGAATACGGTTACTTTCTTTCAGTGACGAAATTAATCAGCATAGGCCAGGGAGACAACAAGTTCTGTTCGGACTTCATTCTTTTTCCCATCGAGTTTCGTTGTCGGCTCTTTCTACCCGTGGCGGGCGAGGTCATGACAGGGGTTGTCCACAAGATGAATTTACGGGGCGTTTTTATCAGGTCGGGGCCGATGAACTGCGTTTACTTGTCGAACCAGCTGATGCCGAACTACAATTATGTTCCGGGGGAGAATCCGACTTTCTTGGGAGAGGATTCGTCGAAAATTCAGGTCGGTGTCGTTATCCGATACGCAGTTTACGCCGTTAGATGGATCGAGGATAGGTGGAGGGAGTTCCGGGTTCTGGCAACTATTGCTGACGACGGGCTCGGACCCGTTTCCTCGAACGGATTGGACGGTATGGATTTGTAATGCTTTTCGGACATCGGCGATTTTAAGACATGCATACATGTCCGAGAATCTGATTCGAGCTCGATCGGGCTCGGATCGTAGCGAGAAACTGCATTACTATGTCATTGGAACAGCTTTGGAACGGTGAAAAAAAATCGGATCTTTGGACATTAGATGTAGGCGAAAGGAGCAGGAAAGCTTAAGGTATTTATTTTATTTTGGCAAAATTGCTTATAATATGTGAACTTAGTTTAAAAAGTCTGTATCATTTTCTATTATGATTTTAAAAATTGTATAAGGTTTTAATGATTTTATAAAATATTGTACAGAATCCTCCGAGACATAGGAGAGTTGCATGAATGTTTTTTTGGGGATTTTGTTCGATATTTTTTAAAAAATAAAAAAGTCTTGTACAGTTTTAAAATTATGAATAAATATGATGCAGATTTTTGAACTATTTCATTTGTGAATTATAAGCAATTATTTGTAGTCAGTTTATTTTTATTTTTTTGTACTTTTTGGATATTTTTGTTACGAGCAAAGTAAGATATTTTAGCGTCTCTTCATCCGTTCCAAATGTACTCAGGGTGTGTTTGTTTGAAGGATTTTGGTGGATTTCCACTATTCATCCAATTTTTTCCCCCCAAAAATATCAAATCAAACACCTAATTTTCATTTTTTATATTATACTAAAAATCAATTTTACATTCAAAACATCACATCAAACCCTATTTATATCACATCATACAACGATTCAAATTCAAAATTTTTACTATTCAAATCCCAACTCAAAATCCAAACCCCCAAACAAACACACCCTTAGTTTATTTTTAATGTATATTCTCCGTCCTAATATAATAATTTTGTTTATTATTTTTGTTCATTCCAAAATAATAGTTTTATTTTCATAAATAATTATATCATCGTAAAACTATCTCTATTTTATTATTATTATTACACAATTGCCACTACTTTTTATACTAATATAGTTACAAGGACAAAAAAATTATTTATCATTACTTTTTTACCCACTACCAATATAAAATTAATATTTTTTAAATTTCGTGTCCAAAATACTAGGGACGGAGGCAGTATTATATTTTAGTAAATAATTATTTTGGTGATGTCGAGTAAATTAATATAATAATGATATTGATATGTATGAGTTTTGAAGATAGAGAATTATGAGTAAATTAATGCAATGAGATTGATATAAATAGATATAAATTTAAATATATTTGTAATATACAATGATCTTTATATTTGAGTTAGGGATTTGAATAATAAAAATTTTGAATTTGAATAATCGTATAATGTAATATAAATAGGTGTTGATGTGATGTTTTGAATGTAAAATTGATTTTTAGTATAATATGAAAAATAAAAAATAGGTGTTTGATTTGATGTTTTTTGGGGGAAAAAAATTGGATGAACAGTGTAAATTCAATCCAATCCCCCAAACAAACACACCCAAAATGTATTGGCAAAAATATATTTGTAAGGCTTTGACAATAAATGATATAATTCAATATAATACAGTGGGACAAAAATCAAATATGAGATCCGAATTGATCTTTTTATCTCCGTAATCTTATATATATTTAGAAAAACATTACAACAAATTTTTTATTCTTTAAAAGAAATATCACAATATATACTTAATTAATTACTTCCAAATTTTTCGAAAATTTGAAGACTTGAGTTGTGTTCACTTGTAATTTTCAAATGAGATCTCAAAAAGAAAAAAAAAATCAAATTAAATCAAATATATATATATTTATTATACTCTTGCTGTTAAACTCATGCATAGCCTGTTTAATGTGAAAATTTTCATTTATTTATAATTTTATTATTATTATCACCGGTCAAAAGAATCATTATAATGTCGGAAGAATCGCAGAAGAATCAAGCTGATTTTGAAAGAATCATTGAAAAAATCAAAAAGAAAACGGCCATTTGATGAAAGGCCGGATTGTCGAAAAACCGGTCGGATTAACGGAGGGCTACGCCCGAGGAAGATAATAGACCAATGGATGCTTATAAAATTAAATTCTCTTCAAGTAGAACTGATATGTAAATTTTACTTCAACGACAAATTCTATCGCATTGGAGTATAAGCCCAAGATTAAGGCCAAAAAATGGTCCGCCTATTAGGCAAGACAAAGGAATGGAGAAGAAAAGACCCAAAGCCAAAAGCCATATCGAGGAAGTTTAAATGAAGTTTATTCACGACGGAAAAAGTTTACGATGAATAGTAATAAAAATAATGGAAGAGTTATGTGACAATTTTAAATGAAATTAATAAAAATAGTTATATAAGATAAAATTTGATGAAGTACTTAAGTGACATTTCAAAAAGGTGTAAAGGGGGGAGAAGAAGAGAACACACACGGGTGCGTTTGTTGAGGGGATTGAATTGGATTTACACTATTCATTCTATTTTTTTCTCCAAAAAATATTAAATCAAACAATCTATTTTTCATTTTTTATATTATACTAAAAATCAATTTTACATTCAAAACAACACATCAACACTTATTTATATCACATCGTACAACTATTCAAATTTAAAATTTTTACTATTTAAATCTCAACTCAAAATTTTTACTATTCAATCATCTTGCATCTTTTTTTTTTTTTTTGTTCTTATTTTCTTTTATTCTCATTTTATTTATTCTTTTAATTCATGTAAATTCGTCTTGTTTTTCTTTCATTTATGCTGAAATTAGTCAATTTTTGCTCTCTTTTAATTTTTGTCTTATTTGGTGTGTTTACTTGTAAGATTTTAGTTTTGAGTTTTGATTTTGAATAGTAAAATTTTGAATTTTGATGTGATATAAATATGTGTTGATGTGATATTTTGAATGTAAAATTAAATTTTAGTATAAAAAAATAAATAAAAATTGAGTGTTTGATTTGATATTTTTAAAAAAAAAAAAAATTAAAATAGTAAAATCAGGTGTAAAAGCTAACAATTAAACTCACCCTTGTGTATCCAACATGCACGAGACTAATATGAAGACTTTTTGGAGTTAGCCCAGAAATTCATATTTTCACTCGTCCAACAAGCCTAATACATACGGCCGTCCGGAAGCAAAATTTCGAATACAACAATTAGTCATATTTTAATAAATAATAATCGATTTGTAACTCTCCCGTCTCACATACAATATTACAGTTATTATAGACACAAAAATTTGTAAAATGTATAATTAGCAAATGGAAATACAATACAAATAATTATATATTAAGATTAAAATAATTAATTAGTCAAACTAAGGATAAAAAATTATAATTTATAAAATTTAAAATATAATTAAAATAATTAATTTCTTTTCAAAAAAACAAATGACATGAAACCTAAGACGGACAAAAATGACAACGGTAATACTCCCTCAGTTCACTTCCAAAGTAAATATTTACTTTTAGCGCAGTGTTTAAGAAATAATAATAAAAGTAGTGTAATGATATTTTTATCTTTGTCCTTTAGAGTAAAAATAATGATATTATGTAAAAAAATAAAATATTTAATAAAATATTAATTTGTAATTAAACAATTTAAAATAGAAATATTTATACTTTCTAATTAGAAGGAGAGAGTATAATATGTGAAAATATATATATATATATACATATTTTTTATTTACCAATTCAATATATTTTTATTAAATCTTTTAATAAAATTTACATAATATCATTATTTTTTTATCAACTCACTTTTATATTAAAAATAGTCTCTGCACTAAGAAAATAGCATAAATATTCAACACAAATATTATCAAGGCGTGTTTGGCGGTTAGCTGTTATCTGATTCAATTAGCTGGTTTGACTAGCTGATTCGATTAGCTGTTTATATTAAAATGTTTGGTAAAACAACTGTTTGATATTAGCTGTTTATACGTAAAATGACAATTGAGGACATTTTTATTTTATTTTTGTTTCTAATATATTCAATTATGTTTTTTTTGAGTTCAAGATGTTTAAAAGTTTTTGTTATTAGTTATTGAAAATTGTAAAAGTGTTATAAAAGTATTTATTTTTATTACAGTTAGATTTAAAAAATAATATATTTTTATTAAAATATATAAATAATTTTTTTTATTGAAAATGATGTAAAATATAAAATAATAAATTTTTCGTGTATATATTTGTTATGTTAGTTATCGATTAGTTCATTATATTTATAATTTCAATAAATTTAATTTATTTTTAGTATAAAATCTATATAATGTAATTTTAATAAAAAAAATAAATTATTCATATTTATATTTTTTATTTATGTTGATTTTAATAAATTTATATATTTCCTAATTAAAATAATTTTTATATAAAAATTAATTATTTTAAATTTATAAAAGTAGAATTATAATATAATAAAATATTCTAATATAATTAATAAATAATCAAAATATATTTATTTGCGTAAAATGTATAATAAAATTTTAAGGGCATATAAGGAAACAAAAATTTTTTACAGAAAAAACTATTTCAAAACGCTGGGTAAGTTAGCTTTTCAAAAATTAGCTTTTTGGATCCAAAAAGCTAATTTATCAAACACCTAAATTAATTTTTTGATTGATCAAACAGCTAAAGTTGTTCAATAAGCTAAAAGCTCTTCAAAAAGCTATTTGCCAAACACCCCCAAAATTAATTTCATGTTTAAATTATGATATTAATATTTACTAATATTATATTAACAATTATTTTAATTTAAAATTTCATTATTTAAAATTCGAATCTCAATTCAAAACTAAAATAAATTTATTTTTTATTTCAAATAAAAGATATTATCATTAATTCACACAATTATTAGTAAAAATATACTCTTTCCATTTGGATAGATACACATCAATAATAATTTATATTACTATTATTTTTGTTACGGAAATTTCTAGAAAATCAAGATGAAATAACGAAAACAAAAGAACACAAGAATTTGGTAACCCAGTTCGATCATAATGATCTACGTCTGGGGCGCTGCCAAACCAGAAATTCTACTATAAAGTACGCAGGCACATGTCAAAGTAAAAATACATGGATATTTATAGCCAATGCCTATGATAATAACATCCAAACCATATCTCCAAATCTCGGATATTATATCCAAATCATATCTAAATCATATCCCTAGATTTTAGGATATAATTAGGCTTCATATCTCAACAATCTCCCACTCGAAGACTGATTTCATCTTCCACTTCAACATTTTACTTAATTTGCAATGACAACGTCAAACCTCATTCTTCACTCATATAGACCCATTGAGGTTGAATACAACCTCAATTCATCTAAGGTCACCATCTTAGATTATCTTTCAAGATTGCTCATAAATCGGCTCACTACTCTCACTGCACGTGCTTTCCACCTCCTAAAGGTATCAAAAGCATCATAATTACACTTAAGGAAATATACTCATACCTTCCTTGTAGCGTCGTCAATGACCATGGGGTAGTACTATGAGCCTCCAAGGGTCGATACAAAAGTTAGTTCCCGCAGGTCCGTATGAACCAACTCCAAGTTTTTCTTTTCCAAGTCTCTTACACCCTTTGAGAACGCCACCTTTAGTTGCTTCCCAAAGATACAGTCCTCGCATACTCCAATATCGACGGACTTGAGACCTGACAATCTTCCCTTTGACATGAGCTTCCCTATCTCCATCTCGCTCATGTGTCCGAGACGAGAATGCCATAAATTTTTGTCATTATTTATGGCCACGGAACTGATTCTGTATTGCATGGTTTTCGTCATGTAGAAAGTTCCATCTCTTCTCTGTTGGACCACCACAATGGATCCTTATGTTACCTTCCACGACTGAGTTTAAAAAACTGTCGATTAACCTGCCTCATCCAATTGTTCAACGGAAATCAGATTCCGTTTCAGACCCAAAACATGGCTCACGTCATTCAATCTCCACTCCTCACCATTCGGTGTTCTGATTCGAATCATTCCTCTACTTACAATTTTCAATGTCTCATTATCTACAAGATAGACAATACCAAAAATTACCTGTGACATAGGATTTCATGATTCCCGAATCTCTGCATGAGTGGAATGACGCTCCTGAGACCAAAATCCATGACTCCATTGGACTGCTGACGCTCAGAATCAGCACATCGGATATCTCCTCCGCTGTGTTTGCCGAACCCTGATCCTTCTTCGGCGCCCCGCACTCTCGTTTCAAGTGTCCCTTGCAGTTTCAACATACCACCTGACTTGCATCTTCCTTGTCGATCTTCTTTTACTCGACTTCATCCATCTTGACTCCCACAAACAAACATAAGGCTCACTTGATATGAAAGCACATCGGATATTCCGCTGCGTTTGCCGAAACCCTTATGCTTCCCTACCAACCTTGCACTGCCTATCACAAAGGGACTCGCTCCCTGACCTACCAGTCGGGACCGACCCAACACCGCCAGGAGACTTTCGACATAAGGCACCTCCGCAGATCACAAGGGATTCCCACAACGACCCAATGTCCGATTCCTCTCAATTCACCCTACCAACGAACCAGGCTCTGATACCATCTTGTTACGGAAATTTCTAGAAAATCAAGATAAAATAACAAAGACAAAAGAACACAAGAATTTGGTAACCCAGTTCGATCATAATGATCTACGTCTGGGGGTGCTGCCAAACCAGAAATTCTACTATAAAGTACGCAGGCACATGTCAAAGTAAGAATACATGGATATTTATAGCTAATGCCTATGATAATAATATCCAAACTATATCTCCAAATCTCGGATATTATATCCAAATCATATCCCTAAATTTTAGAATATAATCAGACTTCATATCTCAACAATTTTATTATTTTTTGCATCAATAGTATTATAAATATTTTAAATATTTTTATCATTATATCTCAATAAAATATATATCATACAAGTATTATTTTTTAATAATAAAATCCTATATAATACAAATAAATAAAAAGAATATATTATCTATTTATTTATAATTAACTTAAATCAATTTTACTTATTTTAAATATAAATAAAATTATTTGTTTAACATTAAAAATTTAATTAAATTATTTTATATATTTTTAATATATTTAGAAATAGAATAAATTTACTAAAAATTTAAAAATATATATAAAACAAAAATAATAGGCTAAAATTAAAAAGTATTATTATTATTATTTTTTTATCACAAAACAACTTTTAAATCAATTTGAATGTTGGAATAACTACACTTCAAAAGTCTACGATGTGTTTCTTTTCCAAATTTTCTATATTTTATTATTTGACTCTGCATTTTTTTCATAGTTTTTTTACAAAATATTTTATTAAATATTAATTTAATATTAATTCAAATCATTTTTTTTTTGTTTAAATTCAACAAAAAGAAACAAGCCCAACTAATTTTATTTTTATTTTTTAAATAATAAATAAAAATATACACTATTTTTAATTTCATTCATTTTACAGAATCCATCAGGCTGTGACTCCCGTCTTCGTCGCGTCTCTCGTCTTCTCCGTCTCAAAACCTTCCTCTTCTTCGTCCCCGCCTTCCAAGTTCCAATATTTGTTATCCACCTGCCATTTTCTTCTTCTCTATCATCTTCTTTATCTCTTACTTTGACGTGTTTTGCTTCTCCGGCCTTCTTCGGCGTCCTCCCAGACAGGCGGTTCGTTGTCGTCGGCGTCTTCTACGAGTTCGTAGGAAGCTCTGTAAGTTCAATCTTTACACTAATTTTGAATTATTTTCTGTATCAACTAAAATAGCCGGCTCGTATGGGTATTTAGGGTTTGAACTGTTTGGAGTTGTTGATTGTAATTAATATTAATGATTTTAGATTTATTCGAAGTGTTGAAGTCTATTTTGGCTGCTTTTGGATATGTTTTGCAGTTTGTGTTTTGCTTTGCTTTTGTTAATAGTGAAAAGTTCAAATGGAAAATACACATTGGATGGGTTTGATTACTACAGGGATGAATCTAATTCAGAATAGTTCGATCCTTTGTAGGAACTACCCGAAATAACTAACTAGAAAATTGAATTTGTTGATCATAAAGAGATTCGGCATTCCCGACCCTTATTCACCTTGATTGTTGGCTGATTTGCATAGAGAATATGTTTATGGGATCGATGCAAATATGTATTGGATGTCATGAAAATAGAAAGAGGAGTATTTCTTTGATCACTAGAATGTGGCTACTTTGGGGATTTCTATTTAATTGTGTCGAAAGCCCGATTGGTCGAGGTTATTTCGCGGAAAGCGGATCATTTATGATGAAGTCGATGAGCTTTAATGATTCTGGCAAATTTGTTTTATGAATAGGACTAGAATTGCTTCTTTCGGCTTTGTTTGCATACACTTTTTTTTGGAAGTTTTGGAACTATTCATCGTCAATAACTTTTTTTAAGGAGACAAAAACATCAAATCGAATATCATTTAAATGGAATCTTGGTTGATGTGTTACTATATGTATATATATTAGGATTGTATGCATCTTCTTATTATGAGATTGTAGTAGTCTAAATTTATTTAAAATTTGCATTTCACTATGTGTTAATTCGGGTTCACATTGTAGCGTTTATCGGAAAGATCCAAGTGATCCCATTCCATTATTTCCATTTACAACCATTGTAGATTGCATAAATTGCATCCTGTGTGGTGTTTTTTTTAAAAAAAAACACCTTTTGTTCCTGTCTATTAGATGCTACCAAAGTTTTAGGATATGTTCTTTACTTCTTTTGGTGTTTTAATTGTTTGGTTTAATTTTTATTAAGTTTTAATGTTTTTGAAGTGAAATAATTATTGGATGCGATGTTTTATATGAAAAATGGGTGAAGGATGTGATGTTTTTTAAGGAAAATTGCGAGTTTCCATATTGAAAAACCAGAAAATGATTTTTAACAATTTGATTTTGATTTGAGTTTGAGTTTTGTATTTTAATTTTAGTTTAAAAAGTCTTCTGAAGTAATATTTTGTGAGAAAAGTAGTGTATTTTTATTAAAATCCGTGTGGACTGAATAGCGGTGATTCGGATTTGAAACTAAAACCAAACAAACCCCTATAACATAGATGATATTTGTGTTCTATTCTAACAGGTCGACTACGGAAAAATGTTTCTCAAGACTCAGTTGTCATGGGATTTAATGATCCCTTCCGAAAGCCTCGATTGCTCTTCCGGAAAAATGCTTCAGAAGGCCGTTCTAGTTTGCCTCATGGCCGAGGTTGCCGAGAGGAAGGCCTCCATAGAAAGTGGCATTTTCGTTGCCGTCAAAGATATCCACAGCATCGGGGAAGGAAAAATCAGGACGCATCCCGGGAATTTCATATTTCCGGTGAAGTTCAGCTGCATCACTTTCAAGATGCTTCCGGGAGAGGTGTTGGAAGGCACCGTTTACAAAGTTATAAAGCACGGAGTCTTTTTGACATGCGGCCCCGCGGACAAAGTTTACCTTTCTCATCGAACAATGTCTGAATACGAGTACTTTCCTGGCGAGCCTCCCTTCTTCAAGAACTTGAAATCAGTGAAGATAGAAAAAGGCACGGTGGTGCGATTTGTTGTTCTTGGACATAAGTTCGATGAGGCCGAGAAAGAGTTTCGAACAGTTGTTAGCTTGGATGCCTTGGAGGATTATTATCTTGGACCGGTCCCTTCTTAATCGAAACATTCTGTAATGGATCTCCACAACTTCTGCAATCATTGATCATCGGTTTGTGATTTGATCTTAATGTTCTTAAATTTTTCACCTCCACGGAATTTTAATCTTGTTTCTTGATCTGGCAGATAACATGACATGCTTTTATGAAAATGCATTCGAGGTTCGGAATTTTCTTCTTCTTCTTCTTCTTCATCGAGGTATGTATGTTTTGTTATTGTGAACTTAATTTTCTTGAGCTGAAAAGAAAAGTCTTTTGGAATATATGTGGAAGGAATTGATTGTTTTGAGTTGGCCCTTTTGTTGTGGTTTTTGGGGCTTATTGTGTTTAGATAAGATTGGATTCCATTGATAAACGAATATGAAGACTTGGATCATACGAATATGTTCTATAGTATAGCTGTTGATGTGATTTTAAAAAATATCAAGACTTGGATTCCATGTTCAGGGTTTGTTTGGTTGGTGATTTTGGGTATTTTGATTTTTCGTTTGAAGAGTGGTTTGGATGAGAGGCTTTGTGAGAGAATGATATATATGGATACGGGTTGATCCGATTAAATCAAAATTACAAACATGATATATTATATATGGCGGCGGATACGGTGCTGAACTTTATGCGTTGATCCGATTAAATCAAAATTCAGCATCATGTTGACAGCATACCGGCTACGGTATGTATTCATATGGGTGTGTTTGTTTGGTGGTTTGGATTTTGAGTTGGGATTTGAATAGTAAAATTTTTGAATTTGAATAGTTGTATAACCTGATATAAATAGGTGTTGATGTGATGTTTTGAATGTAAAATTGATTTTTAGTTTAATATAAAAAATAAAAAATAGGTGTTTGATTTGATGTTTTTGGAGGGAAAAAATGAGATGAATAGTGGAATCCCCAAAACAAAAACACCAATAAAAATACAACACATAAATTAACAACACATTACAGTCTTATACAATACAAACAATAGTTGATTTTAATACACTAGATACTGTTATACAACACATATAAAGCATGTGTTGTGTGTATAATAAGGTTGTGTACTATATTAAGGGTGTTGATTAGTGCTGATTTTTTCAATTCAAGAAATAATGGACGAACAAAGTTATGAAATAGTATTTTATATCAAAAATTGATTAAATTAAAAATAAAATAACATTGTTTGTTGGTTTTTAATTTGAATTTTATAATGTGAAAAAAAAAAAGAAAAATCTTTTGAAAACATCAAAGCAACATTAAAAAAAAAAATTACACTAAATATTAATTTTACGACGAGTTAAAACATCGCTATTAATGGAGTTGAGTTGGTAGATTTGGCAACCGACGTTAAATTTTACACCATATTTTGGTGTGTTAATTTTGCAATATAGCAATGCCAAAACATGGGGTTGCTTTTCTTTCTTTCTTTTTTTTGAATTTATTTTTATTTTTAAATTTATTTTTTATTTTTTTGAAAAATTAATTTAAATTATAAATATAAAAAGTTGTTTAAAATAATAGGAAAAATTGAATATTTGAAGAATAACAGTGAAAATAGAGTTATGATTTAAGTAACATTACTGTAGTTAAAACTTGATAAATGGAATTATGGATTGGAGATGACCTTATTCAACATCCCATAAATAACACAGTGTTAAAAAAACACATGTTATTAATAGAGAAATTATATAATTTATATTAATATAATATAAATATAATATATAAATTACCAACAAATAACATAGTCTTTTAAAATATATGATATATTTTTATAAAGTTTACATTTTAAAATATGAACAAATATTATATACTCTTATTTCACAATATCTGCACTAACTTTTATCCATATTGTTTTCAAAAATCAGCCTTCAAAATTTTATTATTTATAACACAAAATCCACAAAAGAAACACATTCAAACAAGCAGTGTTGAATAATAAAATTGACATACTCGGCCCGGTCCAGTCCGGCTGGACCAGTCCGGTCCGGCCCCGGTCTGGTGCGCCGCTGAAAGTACGTCACGCGAGGACACGTGCACACATTCCCCCTCTCTCTCTCTGCCCGAATTTCGCGCTCTTCTTGTGGTTTTCTGTTTTCCTCTTCCACTTTAGCCGACTCTTTCTCTTGCCTTTCAACTGCATGCTGTTGTGATCCTCAAATTCGACGGAAATTCACTGGAAAAAGGATTGAAAATCACACAACACACAATTACTACGTACTATGATCATAATTTCGCCGCATAACGGCAATGCATGACTAGCGCGCGCGGCAAGAGGTACACGCCTCTGAGCAATTCTGTTTCCGTGCTTTCAATTAAATTTGTTCTGGAAACTGCTGTTCGCGTTGTATTTGTACGTTTGATTTGTATTCCAACCTTCTGATGTTTAATTTTGTGTTTGTGCTGTATGACAAATTCGTGCAGTTATGTAGCAATTGAAGTATGATTATGTTTTGTTGACCAAAGACAATCGGATTGAAGAAAATGTTATTAGTGTTTCCGGTGCATTGTTAATAATCTGGAAACTGCTGTTTTGTGTTGTATTTCTACGCTCGATTTGTATTCCAAGCGTCTGGTGTTTAATTTTGTGTTTGTGCAGTATGAAAATTTCGTGTAGTAAACGTAGCAATTGAAGTATGGTTATGTTTTGTGCACAAAATACAATCGAATTGCAGAAAATGTTATTAGTGTTTCCGGTGCATTGTTTATAACCCGAAAGTGCTGTTTTGTGTTGTATTTCTACGCTCGATTTGTATTTCAAGCTTCTGATGTTTAATTTTGTGTTTGTGCTTTATGAAAAATTCGTGTAGTTATGTAGCAATTGAAGTATGATTATGGTTTTTGCACAAAATACAATCGGATTGCAGAAAATGTTATAATCAGGCATGTTTGCGCATCTATCAATTGTTCTAGGCATTTTTGTCCTCCTATTCATATTCAAGAAACCTAAGAGGATCAAATTTGTGCGTAATTCACACTGAAGGGATGATTTCCAACTTCTTTTGAACTTTTGATTAATTAAAGAGTATTGCTGACAGAAATGGCATGATTTGTGGTTGAAATTGGTGTTGGCATTTAATTGTTATGTAGGTGCAATAAGAAGAGCTTTTTGGGGTTGATTGAGGTATAGAGCTGAATCATGGCAACAGGAAGGTACTCGAGGATTGATGGCCGGAAATCATCCGGCGCTGGATCGACAGTCACAATAGTTGTGTTTGTAGCCCTTTGCATGGTTGGTGTTTGGGTGATGACATCGTCATCTCTACTCAATGTTCAGAATTCGAAAGTTTCGGAAGAGAACAAGAGTGAGGTGACAACAGAGGAGACTCAAGGCAATGTTGAGAATGACAACAATGCTAAAGACAGTGAGAGTACTCAATTGGCGACGGAAGAGAGTCCTAAAGACACCGAGAATAGTAGCGCTGCAAAGGAAGATAATAGTGCTAAAGACAACGAGAATAGTAGCGTCGCAAAGGAAGATAATAGTGCTAAAGATAGCGAGAATAGTGGCGTTTCAAAGGAAGATAATGGTGCTAAAGACAATGAGAATAGTGGTGTTGCAAAGGAAGATAGTAGTGCTAAAGACAATGAGAATAGTAATGTTGCAACTGAAGATAATGCAAAGGAGAATGATGGAAAGCAGAAGCAGTTTGAGGATAGCCAGGGTGACTTGCCCGAGGATGCAATTAAAGTTGACAATAATGAACGTTCGAATCAGATGGAGAAGAATGAGAAGGGGGGTGAAGGGATGGAAGCAAGCAGTGATAAAATGAAAGGAGCTGGTGTAGGAAACAAAGAGGAAATGAAAGATTTGTCGGGGAATGTAGAGGGAAAGAAAGCTGATGGTGAAGGACAGGTGGAGAATAAAGTCTCTTCAAGTTTTGGGGCTGCAGAAAATGAGAAAAAATCCGATGAAAATTCTGGGCAAATGGATGTAAATAAACAAGGGGATCAGGCAGAGAAGATGGAAAGTAAGAATGATGGCGGTGAGAAAAAAGCAGAAGAAAATTCAGTCAATGAAGCTGTCGAAAAAGTAGAGGCTAAAGTGGAGGGAATGTTGGATAACAAGAATGATGGTAGTGAGAAAAGATCGGAAGAAGATTCAGGTAAAACTGAGATGAAAGCTCAAGATGGTCAGGTGGAGGAGAAAGTGGAGAGCAAGACAGATAACAATGAGAAAGCTTCGGAAGAAAAAACTACCAAAACAGATGTAGATAAACCTGATGGTCAGGTAGATGAAAGTTTGAATAGCAAGAAAGATGATAGTGAAAAAAGCTCGAAGGAAAATTCAGGGAAAACAGATGTAGATAAACAAGGGGGTGGGGTTGAGGAAAAGGTGGATAATGGGAAGATATCTGAGGAAAATTCAGGCAAAACAGATGTAGAGGCTGAGAACCCAAAAGATAAGGATAATAAAAATATCTATTCAGAAAATTCAGGCAATGCAAATGATGTGAAAAAAGAGGATCAGAAAGATGCAACAATGGAGAAAAAGAAAGACGAGAAGCCTGCAGATCAAGGTTCCATTGAGAAAAAAGACCAACCAGGTGAAGTGTTTCCATCAGGAGCTCAGTCAGAGCTTTTGAAGGAGTCGACAACACAAAATGGATCATTTTCAACTCAGGCGACCACGTCGAAAAATGAAAAGGAAGCTCAAACATCATCTACACCAGAGAACAAGAACACTTATAGTTGGAAACTCTGCAAAACCTATGCTGGGCCGGATTACATTCCATGCCTAGACAACTTAGCGGCAATAAATAAACTTCGAACAACTAAGCACTACGAACACAGGGAGAGGCACTGTCCAGAGAATCCTCCGACCTGCATTGTTCCCGTCCCTCAAGGATATCAACGCCCCATTGAATGGCCTAGTAGCCGGGACAAGGTATAAACTTTAAACAAGATGGTCCTTCGTTTTTTTTTTTTCCATTTTTTGATTTAGTTCTTCTTTGTAACGATATACTTCTGTTATTTATCGCAGATTTGGTATCATAATGTTCCTCATACCAAGCTTGCGGAATATAAGGGACACCAGAATTGGGTTAAAGTCAGTGGCGAATTCCTTACCTTCCCCGGCGGCGGCACTCAATTTAAGCATGGTGCTCTTCACTACATTGACTTCATACAGGAGGTAATGTTTTTATTTATTTTTTAATTTATGGCTATACGAATGCACTTTTAAGTAAATCATAGCGCCGTATTCTTACTATGTTTCCATATTAAAGAACACAATGCATATGTATAACTATCTCTTCTCTGCGGCTAAAATTTCAGAATTAAATTGTTTTGAGTTGAATTTTTATGCAGTCTGTGCCTGACATTGCATGGGGAAAACAATCCCGAGTTGTTTTGGATGTTGGCTGCGGCGTTGCTAGCTTTGGAGGTTTTCTATTCGATAGAGATGTGCTGACTATGTCGCTGGCCCCAAAAGACGAGCACGAGGCTCAGGTTCAATTTGCACTTGAAAGAGGAATTCCGGCAATATCTGCTGTTATGGGGACATCAAGACTTCCGTATCCTGCAAGAGTCTTCGATGTTGTGCATTGTGCACGTTGCAGGGTGCCGTGGCATATCGAAGGTTCTTTAAACTCGACTTAAATCAGAGCACGCACCCCTAAATCCGTAAATTAGCCTCATCTTTTACTTACCAAATTGTGTTAACTTTTAGGTGGTAAGCTTCTGTTGGAGCTTAACCGGTTGCTACGTCCGGGTGGCTTCTTCGTCTGGTCTGCGACTCCTGTTTACCAGAAACTACCCGAAGATGTTGAGATCTGGGAAGGTATGTTCTAATAACAAATAACATTGATAGTTGATTCGAAAAAATGAGTCGATAACTTTTGTAGCTACAAGGAAATAAGAAGACTTGTCGAAGCGATTCGAAAGTAGTAATTTGCAAGCCGTGTCTTACTTTGAAGCGACGTTTTTAACGTATTGAGCTTTTAATGATAGCAATGAAGAAATTGACGAAAGCAATGTGCTGGGAAGTTGTGTCAATAATCAAAGATCAAGTAAACGGAGTAGGAATCGCGGTGTATCGCAAGCCTACGACGGATGAGTGCTACGAAAAAAGGAAGGAAAACAATCCTCCACTCTGCCCCGACACCGATGATCCAAATGCAGCCTGGTATGCATTTCATTTACGTCTCCCCAAAAAATTGATTCTTGATTCAATTTAGCTACAATTTGTTGTGAATGTGATCAGGAATGTGCCTCTACAAGCATGCATGCACAAAATCCCCGCCGCTCCGACAGAACGCGGCTCTAAATGGCCGGAACAGTGGCCCGCACGCGTCGAGAAACCGCCGTATTGGCTGTCGAGCAGCGAGGTCGGTGTTTACGGCAAACCAGCTCCGGACGACTTTTCCGCGGATTACCAACACTGGAAACGCGTCGTGAAAAACTCTTACCTGAACGGACTCGGGATCAAGTGGTCCACCGTGCGAAACGTCATGGACATGCGAGCCGTCTACGGAGGGTAAGCAAAAAATAATAAATAGCGTCGAAAAATTCTAAAAGTATCTATCTAAACAGAACCTCTGTCTCTCAGGTTGGCAGCCGCCCTGAGAGAACAGAACATATGGGTCATGAACGTGATCTCGATCGACGCCGCCGATACACTCCCGATCATCTACGAGCGAGGCCTATTCGGCATCTATCATGACTGGTGCCAATCGTTCAGTACTTACCCGAGAACATACGACCTCCTCCACGCCGACCATCTCTTCTCAAAGATTAAACAAAAGTGCGTGCAATATTCGATATTCGCCGCCTATACATATATATATATATATAATTTTTTTGATCTTGGCTGAGCCTTTTGGATATGTATGAGAATTACAGGTGCAATTTAATGGCTTTGGTCGCCGAGACCGACCGGATTTTAAGACCAGAAGGCAAGATCATCGTCCGGGACACATCTGAGATTATCACCGAACTCGAGACGATATTCAAATCCTTGCAATGGGACGTGCGCATGACTTACTCGAAGAACAATGAGGGAATGCTCGTCGCCAAGAAGACAATGTGGCGGCCGACGGAGGAGGAGGTGTTGACGTACTCCATCTCTTGAGTTCTCGCAGGTACGTTTTTTTTTTTATCGAGGCTTAGTTTCTCTTGCCAAGGTTGATTTATGTGATTCTTTTGATTAGTTTAGGATTGCGGTAAGAAAATACGCACTAGTTTTGGGGTTCGAGTCCTCGTCTTGAGTCGTTTTTTAATTGAGTTAGTTTTGATTTTACCTTAGATAGCCATTGTAGGATTAGAATGGTAGAGCACAAGTGTTATGCTGCATTCTTTGGTTTCCAATTCTTGAAGGTGATTTAACTGTCTGAATTTTGTTATTGTCAATGATAACATAACACCCTGTACTTTTTAATCTTTGGTTTCTTTTTTCTTTCTTCCTTACATTCCCTTATATTGGGCTTCTATATATCTTTTTCTATATTTGGATTTCTATTTATATTAGAACACATTCTCTCTTCTCCGTCAATATCTCACGTTAGAATTAATGTTAGATTTTCATATCTTATAAAGAGTGAAAGACTATTAGATTTTTATATTTTATAAAGAGTGAAAGACTATTCCACTAACTTGGTACTCCGAATCTCCTATGTCATCAGAGCTATGTTACCTATATTAGATATAAATTATGTTTGAATTTTTTTATCATGCGATTCATTTTTTTAAAAAATTATCAATAGTTCTAAAAATGTTTATATAAACAGAATTTACATGTCATATTTTCTTAATTTTATGAGCAAATTTACGGAGTATTTTCACATAATTGTTGTACATTCCGGCTACGATTACCGGCATTGGGATAAATAAATTCATATTGCCACCTGAGTTTTGTATTTTGGCAATAACACCAATTGATCTTGTCAAAGTCTTCTCAATCGCGCTTGTCATTCATCATTGGCCTTTAATAACTTTTCCAATTGGATTCGGTATGGAAATGAGTACTTCTTCCATTCCATATATTTTTTTTTGTTCAATTTTACTAATTATATTACTTTTAAAATTTATTACAGAGGGAATATATAATAATGTGACAAGAATAAAATTATATAATTTGAAATAAACTACATCACACAAATTTCAGTCAGTTAAATATTTAAATATATGAAAGAAGGCATCTATTGATGGAAATACCTTAACCACCGGATATGGTTTGGTATATATGCATACCTATTATATAATACTGTTCCGATATTTGAATATTAATTATTATATGAAAACATAATACAAGAAAAAAAAATATTTTTTACTATTGTCTTATAATATTATTATAATAATATTTGTAAAAAAGATTATACAAATATAAAAATATTTTTAAAATTAATACAATGACCCAAAAATAAATGAGACCTTACAGCTGAATATTATTTTCTTTATTTCATACGCATTTTATTATTTTTTCTTTTCATCCAAATGTATAAATTTCTTATTATAGGTAATATTAAAATATTTAATTTTTATTAAATTACAAAATATCATTATCTTATACATACAATACAAATATTAAATTTATCAAAATATTCTCATAGACTACTATTATACATTATTCCTTTTTGTACCTTAATGCAATTTTAAACAAATTCTGATTCGAAAGCAAGCAAATAGTGCCATTTGGGACCCAAAACTCTGGCATAATCACATATTCGCTCCCAAACCAATTTTCATTAATAATCAAACCACTCCCCCCATTTATTCTCCCTTTCCAAATCTTCATACCTATGTAGAGTGTAGACTTGGTTTTACCCTCACCTGAGAACAGAGGAAACGGGCGAGCCACTGACTCACTGAGTGAGCTTCGCGACGCGCTGGTTGGATCTCTCCTCGCTCTGGTAATCTTCCTTTTTCTGCTCAGGTGACGCCTCTATCCCTTGCCTTTAATCGAGTTTCGTTAATTTTGTCGTATTCGCGAATTGATGGGAAATCAATGTTTTCATGTGGTTATGTTTCTGTCGTTGAAGCAATGTTGTGTAGTTTCTGTTGTTGACAGCTGAATCGGTTGTTTATTGGAATTGTGAGCTGATTTATGTGAATATTGGTGTGTTTTGTTTCTTTGATTTGGACGAGATGTGTTCTTCAGCTTCTGCTATGCATTATTATAGCTGTTGAGATGTTTTAGTTTTTGTTTTCCTGATTAAACTGCATTCGTTGGCTGTGTTTCCTTTGCAGGATTCAGTTATTTGAGACAGTTTGCGTTCTTTGGATGTGAATTTTTGGGTTTTAAGAAACAGTAGGAAATCATGGTGTGTGTTTTATGTATTGGGGATTTTGTCATTCAGCTGTTAATTATTATCTTAAACTGAAGGAAGGGGAAAGGAGTAGTCTATGTCAAAGTTCAAATTATAATATGTAAGAACTGTATGAAGATCTGAAATCTTGGCTCCTAGATAGAAACTTTTGAGCTTTGGAGTTTTGAAAAAATGTAATAAGTTAAGTATTTTATGAGATGTTTTCGAAAAAAAAATCACTGTCGATTAATAGTGCCAAAAAGCACCATAATATTAAATTTGACTGTGAACCACTTCTGATTCGTCTGCTCTGGTTTTCTCTTATTTTTTACTTTTAGTAAAAGGATAAGCTGAATGTTGTTTTGTTTTGCTTAGCTAGAATAGGAAGAGCAAGGGAAAAATTTAACTATTAACACAAAATATCCGAATGGCAAAAAAAAATTGAAGTTGTGATGTGTAATTCAAACTAAGAAAAGGAGCTTGTGGATTTGAGGGTTCATTTTAACAGGATCAAAGAAGGATTAACCTTTTCTTTTTTTTTGTCTTATTTGACCTTGTTCATTTTTATTTATTTCAGGTAACTGGAGATCCATCTGGTACACTTGTAATTCCTCTAGGTGAATCGAGCAATCACTTGGAAGTCATAGTTGTAAACTTTTAAGTGAGATCTTTCTAAAGGGGTCTAAGAAATAAAGAAATGGAAAGCAGTACTGGTGGAACATCTACTCCTACTGGGCCTACTGCACGGTTACGCCGGCGCAGAGGTTCAAATGAGGTCAGATATCCTTTTGTTAACTTAACTGTATCATACTCTTATGTGGCCTTTCTCATTCATATTGTTGTATAAAACTACCAATTTCATTGCTAAGCATAGAACAAAAGTGTTTGTACTTATGGAAACTTGCTTTTTTTTTTTTTTTTCTTTACATTAGGTCCCTCCCGAAGTTGATAGAGCAAATGGTGGCCAATTACTTGTTAATGACAATAACAAGTACAAGTCCATGTTAATCCGTGCACAATCATCTGCCTGGATGATTGGAGGATTTGCCTTGCTTATTTACATGGGTCACCTTTATATCTGTGCCATGATTGTTGTTATCCAAATTTATATGGCCAAGGAGCTGTTCATACTGCTTAGGAGGGTACGTGAAGACAGACACCTCCCGGGCTTTAGGCTATTAAATTGGTTAGTAACTTTGATATATATCAGCGAGCAATTTTATCTGCTAGTAATACTTTTCTGAATAGGATAATACACAAATTGATGTGACTATATAGACTTATTGTCTCTTAGAAAAGTCAGAATGTAACTTCTCAAGAATTTTTGTTTCGTTCCAATTAACTCTTTTATTTACCCAGTTCTTGTATTGCATATTTTTTATGCTATAAAAAGAATCCTGGTGGAATTTCCTGTAAAGGACAATGCAGATTTTACCTTTCCATACTTTCTTTCTTCTGGTTCTTAACTTGGTTTCACAATTTCTAAAGACAATAAATCATCAATCCTTAACTGGATTTCTTTTTTACTCTGTCCTCTATTTTTCAGGCACTTTTTCTTCACAGCAATGTTATTTGTGTACGGTCGAATTCTCAGTCAGAGGCTTGTTAATACCGTTACAACAGACAAATTTTTGTATAAGCTTGTGGGAAGAGTAATCAAGTATCATATGGTTACCTGTTATTTCTTGTACATCGCAGGTTGGTACAGAGAGTAGAACTTCCGGTTTGGCTGTTTCTTTTGTAAACTTCTTTAAATCATGCTATGGTATGTAATTACTAAACCAATTTATTTACTAAGTAAAGACTTTGGTTGGGTGGACAGCTCTATATATCTCACCGAGGGCATCTTTTGTTATTATAATCCAACACGAAAGATTTATGCTAATGTTATTAGTTGACTCTCAATGTACTTGTAAACTTTAGGTTGTCCGTTGTACTATAGAATTTAAGCTGAATATTAATTTCTTTTGTGGTTTCAGGTTTCATGTGGTTCATTCTTACCCTGAAGAAGAAGATGTACAAGTATCAATTCAGCCAATATGCATGGACACACATGATTTTAATTGTGGTTTTTACCCAATCATCGTTTACCGTGGCAAATATCTTTGAAGGCATCTTCTGGTAACACAGCTTTTCTTTCCATTGTAACATTGTCAAATGTATTCGATATTACTTATCAGTCTTGTAGTTCTTTTAGTTAAGGAAAGCTTGCTTAAAACCTTTGAGCTGCATTCTGATATTGCAGGATGTCTTAATTTATACGAACCTGAGGTCAATTAGTTGGAGATCTTTCCTCTAAAAATGCTGGAGAAAAACCTACCATGTTGTCTTTAAGGGCTTTTCTTTAGAAATGACAGTGCTATAATTTCTTCACTTTGTTGATTTTTAGCATAGCGATGATTTCAACTTAACCTTTTTTTAACTTAACAATTGTTGTGGTTGACATGGATTATTGGAAAGTTGTATAAAGAATGTCAAATGGAGTTTAATTTCCTCAATACAGGTTCCTCCTACCAGCTTCACTAATTGTCATCAATGACATTGCCGCTTACATTTTTGGATTCTTCTTCGGAAGAACTCCTCTGATCAAGATCTCGCCAAAGAAAACTTGGGAAGGTTTTATTGGCGCATCTATTGCTACCATGATCTCTGCCTTCCTGGTGAGTCGTTTAACTATATATTGGCCAAGAATTTTTAGAAACTTGCTATGGAAGAGAGTTTCGATAATCTAGTTGCTGAGTTTATTTTCTTTACTTCCTCAGATGGCAAATGTATTGGGCCAATTTCAATGGTTGACATGTCCAAGGAAGGTAATCGTGTCTTTCATCCACTCTTCTTAGGTTTCACTATTCACCCCTTTTCGAAAATTTCTAAAGTTAGCTGTAATTGCACAGGATCTATCGACTGGTTGGCTTCAATGCGATCCCGGTCCATTGTTTAAGCCAGAACATTTTTCTGTACCCGAGTGGTTTCCTGGTTGGGTAAGTTTCTTACCATCCATTCCCCACCAAAACAAATATTGTCGTATGTGTGTGTTTTATGCTTTGGGATGGTTATGGTGCTGATCAGTACCATGCTGATTTGTCTGATCGGAAAACCAATAACACATTTTTATTTAAAACATCACATACTGTGTTAAATAAAAGCATGTAGGTGTGTTGTATGAATATATTTCTTATGTTATAATCAATTGTAGCATTTGTTGTCGGTTTATGCACTGCATTTGTATTATGTTAATATAATTCACGTGTTGTCTGTCTCTCTATATCGTATATTGTTAGTACATATATTGCATTTGTATTATATTAATATAATTCATATTATATGTTGTTTGTGGCTATATTATGTATTCTTAGAGTAACCGTCGCCTTTATATTTAAAATAACTCTCATGTTTACAAAGTCATATAGGTTAATACCGGTCTATACAATTTTTTTTTTTATATATATTTATATTTTTTTCGTTTGTGATGCTCGTCTTATGCTTCTCACACCTCTGCAGTTCCCCTGGAAAGAGATTTCTATATTGCCCGTACAGTGGCACGCCCTGTGTCTCGGTCTCTTTGCGTCAATTATAGCGCCATTCGGAGGCTTTTTCGCCAGCGGCTTTAAGAGAGCTTTCAAGATCAAGGTCAGGCATCGTTATTAATTACCGTTCACTCTGTCACTATCAGACATCTTCGTACTTATGTGATCTACCTATCCCAGGATTTCGGCGACAGCATACCTGGACATGGCGGAATCACCGACAGAATGGATTGCCAGGTGAATTCCTAGTACCATTCCCATGTTTGGACACAAAAATGTATGAAAGCTCATGCCAATTTTTTTCTGCAGATGGTGATGGCTGTTTTCGCGTACATTTACCACCAGTCGTTCGTGGTGCCTCAGAGCCTGTCGATCGAGATGATCATGGACCAGGTAAAAAAAAAAAAAAAACATCTCCTAAAGATACACTTCCTTTTGGTTCATCGGAATTTCGACAGACATTATTCTCTTCTTGCGCCGTATAGATACTTATAAACCTGACGTTCGAGGAGCAACGCGCTCTCTACATCAAACTCGGGGAGGTGATCATGGAGCGGCAGTTCGGAGAATCCTGAAGCTCAGGTATGTTGTCACGGCCACCCTACCCTACCCTACCCTACATTCTTGTTGCTGGTGTATATATAAGAAATTGGTGTGTGTGTGTAGGAATTAGTGTAGTAGTATTCATTCCCTCCTAATCTGATCATATCACATCATATAATATCCTGTGTTTCTTTCTTTTGTTTTTTAGTTATTTTGCGTCTCCTCAGTGAGGACTCTAGCTTGTAATATTACATTACTATTTCACTTTGGTTGAATTTTATTTTTATTTTTTCTTAGGTTTCTTTCTAATTTGGGTAAAACAGGCTGTGTTCTACCTATTTGTTATTTTTATAAAATAAACTGTTGGATTTTATTATTGTTAATATATATCAGCAAAAATTATGCCCATGTATGGATATGTGGCAATTAGATATTGTTGTATATTAAGTTTTAAAATAAATATTTGTTATTCAATTCTTTGGTAGTGGTTTGAAATTTATTTCAAATAAGATGTTTGATTTGAATTTTTGTTTATGCAGTATTTTGTTGTGATATTTTATGAGATAAAAATAATAATTTTTTTTTTATTAGAAATAGTGTTTTTAAGTTTATAATAACAAAAGAGTAAATTCCAGGTAAGTGTCAATTTTTAATAATGTATATGTATGTTTGTTTTTTTATTCTAATAAATAAATATTTCTTAGAGTATTATGGATATTTTTGTATGCTGATCTTTAAATATTAATTATTGTAAAGGTACAAATTAAGACTATAAGTCTCTTTAATACAAATATAATGATTGCAAATAAATTATACAAATACTCCCTCCGTCCTAGAATTATAGTTTTGGTTGTGTTGGACATGAGATGAGATTTAAGGTATATTGATATTATATTGATAGTAAAAGATATTTTTGTCAGTGTATCAGTGTAAAAGGTAGTGATAATTGTGTAATAATAACGAAAGAGTATGGGTAGTTATATAGTGATACGATTATTTATGAAAATAAGACTATTGTTTTAGGACAGATAAAAATAGTAAACAAAACTATTGTATTGAGACGGGGGGAGTATAAGAATTTTTAAATGTTAAATATATTGTCCAAAAGACAAATGGTGTCTGTTTTAGTTTATTTATTGAAAATACTCATATCATATTTAGTAAAAAATAGGTAAATTGTTCTTTTAGTTCCGTAATTGGACTCTTTTATCATTTTAGTCCCGTAAATAGAGTTGTCGCAAATTAGTCCCATAAGTGAAAATTTTTTGCTGTTTTAGTCCTCCAGTACCAGAGACGCCCATACGACTCGTCGGAGAAATTTTAAGCATTGTTTTATAATCTCAATATTTAGAAATTTTAAGCATTGTTTTATAAGATGAATGAAATAATATTTTATTAGTTAGTTGAATTATTTAGAGAAGTTTAACATTTTTGTTTGTGTATTTCATGGGTGCTTTTTACTATACGAGATTAGAGTGAAAAATATTATTTTATCCAAATTATTTGATGTTTACTTTCGGATTCTATTAATTAAATGTCCGATGCAATTATATTGGTTTTTAGAATTATTAATAGAATCTAACTCTTAGTATAATTATCATATTTAATATAATATTTAAACTATTATTTTTTTTAACACTTAAAAAATATTTATATAAATATAATAATAATTTTTTTATATATATATTTTGATGTTATTTGAAATTTATTTTTTATTTTTAATCAATAAAAATATATTGTAACGTAGTATATTGACAAAATATATTGTTAAAATTTAATTTATAATTTTGAAAAATAAAATATATTAATAAATAATAAAAACTATATCAAAATATATATTCTCTTTTTTCGTTATAATTATTTCAGTTTTTTTTTTTTCATTAAATTTATGCATATTCATGTATAGTAAACAATTTTATTCATCCACAATTTTATTTTCACATTTTAACAAATAATAATTCAGTTGTCATTATCTTTTTTTTACTTATAACAATATTTTTTTTATTAATTTTTTCATAAATTTCTTATAACATTCAATTTTATTTTTACATTAAAATATTATTATTTCTTAGTATGTATGTCCAGACAAAGTGATATAATTAATCCGGACAAAATAAGTATATATTATATCATGATAATAACACAAATAAATTTTAACATATTGTTACTTATTACTTCTGTCTCACCTAATTGTATATATATATATATTTATAATTTTTGTCCATCCATAAAAATTAGGACGCTTTGACTACCACATTTCGTCAATAAAAAACCTTAAGATTGTGTTCTTTTATGTATTTTTTACAAATTTTTATTATTCAATTTTGGCAAAATTGCATATAAATTCTTTTAGTTTCGAAATTCAGCGTAATTTTTTTTTTTTTAAATTGCATGACACTCCATTCTGGTTTAAAAAATATTGCATGAAACCCCACCGCCATGAAACCTCCCTTGTGATGAGACGATGATTTCTTATCTATATTTTTTGCATCGCGGGAGATTTATGCAATATTTTTTAAAGTATAAGGGGCGTTATCCAATTTTTAAAATAAATTGGAGATTTACGCGGAGTTTTGAAACTACAAAGTGATTTCATGAAAACTTTTTTCAAATATAAGGGAGCGCCGTACAATTTTTAAAGTAAATAAAGTGTTTACGCTGAGTTTTGAAACTACAATGGAGTGTTGGACAATTTTGTTTTCATTTTTTTTCTTAAAAAATATCGAATTAAATAATTATTTTTATTTTTTTATAATTATACTAAAATTGTATTTTACATTCAAAATATCACATCAATATCTATTAAGATCACATCAAATTACTTTCACTTTCAAATGTTTATTATTAAAAAATAAAAAAATAAAAAAAAATCAAATTCACAAACAACCACACCAAAATTGTTTATGGTTTAAAAAAATAGTATTGTCACTATTTGGCATAGTTAATTATATGCTATTGTTATGCTGAAATACAAAATTAAGCATAGTGTTATAATATAGTACCATATAATATAAGAACAAAGGTTAAATCCCGACGCCTTCAAGTCCATTTGTCATACAGGGTTTGTCTAATGTTACTTGCCTTGTCGGACTTAATTTGCTGGGTATTAAGTTCGAAATTTACCCAATGCGCATTTTCGGATAGCGACTGCGAGTTCCCACGCTATCAACAAAAGAAAAAGAAAATTATATAATAGAAATACAAACCATACATATGAATTATGTAACATAATGTAAATGCAATATATAAATTGACAATACATTATACTATCTCCGTCCCGACTAAAAAGTAATGATAAATTATTTGAAACAGACGAAAATAGAAAGAATTGACAAATTAAGTGAGACAGATGAAGTATAATATTTTACAATACACTTTATAAAAACATATAACATAGTCATACTCAACAGATAATATAAGACATACATCCCACCATATGAAGACATAATACATAAATTATATTAACATAATACAAGAACAGGACATAAACCCACAACGTATGATAGTCTCATAGAATATATGCTCCAATTAATTTGAGGTATTGTATTTTATTATATTAACATATATATATATTTTTATTTTTTATGTCAGTGAAAATTCGTAATTGTTATTTTGAATATATTTTGAATAAATTTCCAAGCCGACCGAGTTACCTCCGTCCAGTTTCAAGGTCTCATTTACCCTTTTTTTTTTATGTGTTGATATTTAAATATTAATTATTATATCAAAACGTAATATAAATTAAAAAAAATTACAAAAATATTTCTATAAGGCAAAAAAAAAAAGTAAATGTCATTGTTAGAGACAGGCATACCTAAGTCATATTATTTTACTAAAAACTACAATGAAAATAAATTTAGATAAAATAAATAAATTTAAATGATTATAATTTAGTCTTAAAAATTTAAAATATTTTGATATTAATAAATCATACATAAAAAAAAAAAAAAAAACATAAAAAGTTTATATATATATAGTGTTGAACTGAGGACACCAATTCCTTCCGGTGATCATTTTGTTGACTCTTTAATTCAGAAGAAATTTTACTCGACCGACGACCACATGTCATCGCCAGCTCCGCCGACGGCCACCGCCGACGCCGACGCCGGGAAGGTCCGTCCATGGGGGCAGTTTCTAGAAATCTCCGCCCTCAGCATCCCGGTCTCCCTCTCCGAAGCCTCCTTCCGCATCACTCAGAATCTCCGCTATTTTCTCCCTAATTACGCTCTCCTTACTCTCGGCATCTTCCTCGTCTCCCTCATCGTCCGCCCTCTCGCCTTGATCTTCTTCCTCTTCCTCTTCGCAGCTTGGATATACCTCGTTTTCCTGCGCGACGAGCCGTTGTCGGTCTTCGATTGCTTTGTCGATCAGAAAATAGTCATGGGGATTCTCGCTGTGATAACTTTGCTAGCGCTTTTCTGGACCAAGCTCTGGTTGAGGCTTTTTGTATGTTTGATTGTTGGGGCTTTGGTTGTGCTGATTCATGGCGCTCTGAGGGCGCCGGAGGATTCTATGGAGGATTCGCCTTATGGTTCGCTGCTTAATGTTGTGGAAGGTCAGAGGGGAGAGTATGCTAGCGTTTGAGAAATTAGGGTTCGATTTGGGTGGGGATTGAATTCCGATTGCGCGAGAGCCACTTTGGTGTTCAATTGCAGCCTTGAATTGTGTTTCTATCGTTAACTGTTTTGCCCTTGTTAGGGTTCCTGACATTGAAATTGATGCACACGAACTTGATTTTTTATCTCATGGAATTGGATTGAATCTGTCTTTAGCTTTCTTCTGTAATCTGTTTACTTGTTTGATTCTTGTTCCATGTTTATATGCAAGCTGGATTCTGAAACTTTGTTAATCACCCTGCACTGCCCTTGTTTACTGACTTATGTCTAGTTCTTGCACTGATGTTTCCTGCCATTGAGCTCTAGGTTTATTTTTTTTTTTAATTTTGTCGATTTATGGGAATATAATTCGATTTCGTTTGATTCTTGTTCGATTTTTATATGCAATCTGGATTGTGAAACTTGGTTAATCACACTGCAGTGCCCTTGATTACTGACTTATGTCTAGTTTTTGCTCTGATGTATCCTGCCATTGAGCTCTAGGTTTTTTTTAATTTTGTCGATTTAGGGGCGTATAATTCAATTTCGTTTGATTCTTGTTCGATTTTTATATGCAAGCTGGATTATGAAACTTGGTTAATCACACTGCAGTGCCTTGTTTATTGATTTATGTCTAGTGTTTGCTATAATGCTTCATGACATTTATGCTCGGTTTGTTTATTTTGTCGATTTGGGGTGCAAAAGGGTTGGAGAATTATGGTAAAACAGGTGCCGAACACACTAGTCTTGTCGTAAATCTAGAGGAGAAGTTGATTTCATTGCTTTGCTTATGTATGGTATTGATTTACACAATTAGTTGGACAAAGGACTCATGTCTAGTGTTTGCACTAATATTTCCTTACATTAATGCTCTAGCTTTTCTACATTTTGTCGATTTAGGCACGTTTAATTCAATTTCGTAGGTATGTTTAAATATCTCATATGTTCTGTGAAAACTTGGTGCAAAAGGGTTGGAAAATTATGTTTAAAACAGGTTCTGAAGACACTACTCGTCTTAAATCTAGAGGAGTAGTTGATATCTCATTGCTTTGCTTGTGTAAATATCGGTTTATATTTTTTTTACAATTATTCGGACATAATGTATTAGCATTGAAATGTAATGTTTTTTCTTATATTGATCATTTGGTGTTATCTTAAAGCTTAGAGAATGGCGAAGGGGTGTCTTTGCAAGGTGAAGGATTATATGAATGGGAAGATCAAGAAAGCCCGTTTGATGTCGAAAGATTTATACTCTGTCAGAAGAAATTTCTTGTGCTTCAAAATCAAGGTGAACATTTTATATTATCTGCAAGTTTTTTTGGCAAAATCTGCATTTTTGGGTTAAAATTGGAGTCGTTATTGACATAAGGTAGGAATCATGTAGACCTAGGGAATTCTTGAAGAAATGATTTTTTTATTTTTACTAAAAAATAGGATTTGAAAATGATTGTTTTCTTTGGATATGCTTAGGAAAAGTGATACATAGTAAATGAGATGTGTAATGAAATTATTGATTTTGATTTCATTTGATGGTGTTAATTGAAAAAAAAAACATAAAAAAAATGGAAAATAAACTGGAAAAGTATTTTGATTGACCTGATGAAAAAAAAGTTGAGAAAACGTGCATCACAATGTTGTTTATTTTATTTATTTATTTGCTGCCCGAAATCCCGGCCGAATCTAATACCTTACAAACTAGGCCCCACAAGCAAGTCACACTAGGCGAACCATACAATGTTTGGATGAATTAGGTTTTGTTTAGATAAAAATTTTGAAATTTTAAAAATCCTGAGATAAAGGAAAAAAAAAAAAAATGCTATTTATCATACCCATCTGTCATACTAATTTATAAATATCATATTTTTTACTTTTTCCATTATCGTAAAAAGAAGATATTTTTATTTTTACATATTTTTATTAAAACTCTCGTACCCAGTCAAATTCAAATGAGTGTATAGTTGGATTACGGAGATACTAATAAATAATAGTAAGAATTTGATGTAGTGTTTTTTTGAAAAATGCTATGAGAGTGTCAAAGCAAAGTGTGTAGGTAAATAGAGTTTTGTCTGTTCTGATATTAGTAAAAATTTGTGTTCAAATAGTTATTTTAGAAAGATCTTGATTTAGACACAGGATTTTGGAGTTTTTACCTACCGTTTCGATGGAAGTTTTTGCTGTTTTGGAATTTTTTTTAAATAGTAAAATTTTTTATATTTAATATAATATTTTATAAAAGAATCCTATTTGATGTAATATATAATTAAAAGTTCAATTTTATTTTTATTTATTTATTTATTTATTTTATATATAAACAAAAGTTTGTTTGTGGAATGATTTGGTGGTGTGGGTTGGACTCGTGAAGATCCGCCATATATGGTTCCTTAGTGTGACTTTTCTTGTGTAATAATAGACGAGCGAAACAAAGAAAGTGATAATATATTGAACGAACAAATGGAGTATAAGATATTATTTTTTTGGTAAGTGATTTATCGAACAAAACACCTTCGAACATTTAAATAAAGGTCAACTCCCCTGAAACGTGGTTGGTTCACAGTTTAGACGTCTTAATAACAAATAACAATGAAGAACTCAAAACAACAAATGAGACAAGGTATTTGTTGATCCAGTTCGGTTATGAATCAACATACATAGAGATTTCACTAATCAATACATAAACAATCACAACTTATTCTACCCACACTTTGGTTAACTTAAGAAAATACTTCCTCATATTCACGTTGCTACAAACTAGTACTGACAACCACTATATAACAGAGAAGTTCACACCCTCTCTGGTTGGAACTCCTTTATCTCTGATCACCTTCGACCTCTCCGATGGATTTAAGTGTAGAACACACATTCAGAATATGGAGAATCGATATGGATAGGTAGTGAGAGCTTCACTCAATAATCTTCTCTCTAAAACACACTCTCAAGATTACTCACAACCAATTTTTTTTGTCTTCTTTGGTTGTATATTCCATGCAACATTGGAATGAACAAATCCCTCGTTAATTTTCCTCTGCATGAAATGGGATGGTGTGAGCTTCTATACATATGAAGAGATTTGCCATTTTTTAAAATATGTATTTATCTTTTGTAAGTCATTAAATGAAGTGACAGCTTGAATAATGTCAAACTCATATTTCAGAATGCAGTACGATTGCAGTATTAGCCCTCTTGCACCTCAGAATACTTAAATAGAAAGATTTGCTGCAGGATAATTAAAGCACAATGGTTCATATGCCAAAATTAACATAGAGAGTATTTAATCACATTTTCCCTCTTTTTGGAATATGGATCCATGCAAAATATGCATGAGATAGCCTCCAACGATCAACCCACCAATTCAGTAAATACAAAAATATCAAGGTTCATCAATCAAAATACAAATAACAACAAAGGCTACAGATAGTCTTGTACAACAAATAGCAGAATGGTTGTGATAAGAACAGATCAATAACCATCTATACTGATCAGATTGGCAAATAACTCCCTATTCCTGCACGCACTCCCCCTTGCAGGGAGCATGTGGCCAAAAAGGCCTCAGAGAGAGGATTCACTGACTTCCGCCTCTTCATCCCCTGTAGCACGAGGATCCCTTGGAAGCAAATTAAGGGCGTGGAAGGTCTTTTGGCGATGATCGCCAATGGTGACTTTGATAGCCAGTTGTTCGGTCAGCACTTCCTAGAGAATCTTTCGTGCTTCCATCAATTGAGCAGCTAGATCTCTTGGAGTAGGCTCATGGATATCATTGTACATTTTGTCGAGGTTCCCTTCCGGTGAGAATGTCCCTACTGAAATCACATTTGAGGATCCTCAAGTCTATCAAGAAGATGAGGACTCTGACATCTTCATAGCATCCCTCCAACTCCGTCGCCGCAAAGCTGGCACTAAGAGAAAGGTCATTGTTCGTGTGTTTGATCATGTGAAGAAGAATAAAGCCAAAAATGTGGTTGCTTCAGCACTATCTAAAAGAAAGAAATCGAAGTCCACTACCAAATCTTTCATGCCCAGTGAGATCATAGCTACGGATGTCATGGATGACACCCATTTTGATGACTCTGTGGAAGTGTACGAGTATGACATCCTTGCCAACTGGGGGTTCATTTCCGAAATGAAGTTCAATCACGAACTGCATGTGGAGGTTGGCTTTGTAGAATACATGCGTAAACGAGGATTGTTCTTTTGGGCCATATGTCTCAAAAAGTATTCTCCAAAACTTGTACGTGAATTTTATGCTAATCTTCCGAAGTTTTTACTAGATGAAGGGTCTCCTTGGTATCATCGTATGTTCGAGGGAAAGTGATTGACCTAAGTCCCTCTATCGTCAATGACTTGTTGCAACTCTCTGACGACAATCCTGAGGATCTACCTTCCTCTTATCTGTTTTAAACGAAACGTGACGTTGCACTCTACATTTCTACCCACAAAACTAGTGATTTTGGTTGTGTTGGCCTTGGCTCGAAGGAACTAACAATGAAGTTTTAATGCTTGTTTCGACTGTGTGCTCACAACATCTTTCCGACAAGCAATGCCTCATGCATTGGGTCCGAAATGGGTAAGCTCATTTTTGTCATTGATAAAAACTGTTCCCTTATCAACTTTGGATTTCTTGTCTTGTCAAAAATGGTGAAATATGCCCGATGACAAAAGATGGAGGTCACAAAGTTACCATTCCCTGCTCTCCTTACCCTCATTCTTGAGAAGAATGAGATCCTTCCCACGATGGGGGAAGATGTTATTCTGGTAGGGACATTCTCACCGGAAGGGAACCTCGACAAGATGTACAATGATATCCATGAGCCTACTCTAAGAGATGTAGCTGCTCAACTAATGGAAGAACGAAAGATTCTCCAAGAAGTGTTGATCGAACAACTGGCTATCAAAGTCACCCTCGGCGATCATCGCCAAAAGATCTCCCACGCCCTTAACTTGGTGGCCTCCGTTTTTTGTCCTCGGGCGTATTTCACCATTTTTGACAAGACAAGAAATCCAAAGTTGATGAGGGAACAGTTTTTATCAATGGCAAAAATGAGCTTACCAATTTCGGATCCAATGCATGAGGCATTGCTTGTCGGAAAGATGTTGTGAGTACACGGTCGAAACAAGCATTGAAACTTCATTGTTAGTTCCTTTGAGCCAAGGCCAGCACGGCCAAAATCACC